GGATTGTTTGACATTGTGTGCGACACCTAGGATTGTTTGACATTGTGTGCGACACCTAGGATTGTTTGACATTGCGTGTGACACCAAGGATTGTTTGACATTTCGTGTGACACATGGTGGATTGTTTGACATTGTGTGCGACACCTAGGATTGTTTGACATTGTGTGCGACACCTAGGATTGTTTGACATTGTGTGCGACACCTAGGATTGTTTGACATTGCGTGTGACACCAAGGATTGTTTGACATTTCGTGTGACACATGGTGGATTGTTTGACATTGTGTGTGACACATGGTGGATTGTTTGTCATTGCAAGTGATACATGGTGGATTGTTTGTCATTGCAAGTGACACATGTTGGATTGTTTGACATTGCGTGTGACACATGGTGGATTGTTTGTCATTGCAAGTGATACATGGTGGATTGTTGTCATTGCAAGTGACACATGTTGGATTGTTTGACATTGCGTGTGACACATGGTGGATTGTTTGACATTGCAAGTGACACATGGTGGATTGTTTGTCACTGCTAGTGACACATGGTGGATTGTTTGACATTGCGTGCGTCACATGGTGGAATGTTTGGCATTGCAAGTGACACATGGTGGATTGTTTGTCATTGCAAGTGACACATGGTGGATTGTTTGACATTGCGTGTGACACATGGTGGATTGTTTGACATTGCGTGCGACACATGGTGGAATGTTTGGCATTGCAAGTGACACATGGTGGATTGTTTGTCATTGCAAGTGACACATTGTGAATTGTGTGTCATTGCCAGTGACACATGGTGGATTGTTTGACATTGCGTGTGACACATGGTGGATTGTTTGACATTGCGTGTGACATGTGTTGTATAATTTGACACCTTAACACATAGGACACTGTTTGACACTGTGGATACATTTGTGCTTGCTGTGTTCATAGAGAAAACACCTTCACCCTTGATAGTGGTGCGAGAGTTCTGGTGTGAAGTCATTTCAACTTTTTCTGTTTGTAATGCTTTTATTTTAAATTGCCAGTGAAAATAATTATATATATGTATGGTTTAACTTGCAATTCACATTTCCCCGATCTTTTTTCATACATAAAGCTGATAAATTCAACTCCTAAACTATAATGTTTTACAAAGCAATACATTTATCAAAATATAGAAAGACTTCATAAGACTGTGTATTGTGCTTTTAAATTAAATTAAAAATCCCATCAAACTAATCTAAGAAGCATATCCTCTTTCATAATTTACTTTTTACTGATCACTTCTGGGTTACACAGACTGATCAATTAAATGAACAGCAGTAAGCTGAAGCAACAATGAAAAGAGCTAACAGTTCAAAGTTTACAACACTCAAATCAACCATCAATGCACTATCCAGATTAAGTCCTGGCCCTGCTTTCTCAAAGAAAATGTAATTCAGGTAACTTCCTTAAAAAATATTTTTTTGGAAAAAAATTTCTTTAGGTTTTCAAAACTGAATAAAATCATTTACATTCTAATTCACAATTAGGAATTCATGGACCATCAACATTTTCATTTACCACTTTCTTTTAAAAATACCCCATTTACAGTGAATTTGAAATTATGAGAAAAATTGAAGTAAGCTGAATCAATATTATTCTTATTTTATTTTTATTTTTTTATGAAATTTTAAATCTGAAACTGGATGCATTTTTAAGATTTATAAAGATCACCAAGGAAAGATTAATTTGAAGGAAGTTAAGGATGAAGTAAATCATTTTTTGAGACAACAGTGCTATGACCATCACATACATAATATTTCTTCACACAAGGTAAGATTGGCTTCAGTACTTTCTATTAATATAAACAATTGAGGAATCACACGCCATCCTCTACATACACACAATCATATATACACGTGCTATATACCGTAGAACACTATGCTCCTAATAAAAATCATTGTTAATCAGGACCTTTTTCCTGTGTGATTAAACGGTGAATGATGTATAGACAAGATTATATTCTTTTTACCTGGGAGTTCAAAGGTTAGGGCGTACTCCTCTTGGTCTTCAAAGTCGTCGGCTGTATCGTATGTACTGTCCATGTCGTCCGTACTCAGAACCTCGTCATCAGAACTCAGATGACGACACTCCAAATTTGGCAAGTTGGATGTTAGGTTATCTCTGCAAATCAAAGGTTGTTGGTAAACAATTAGTCATTATAAGGTTGTTGGTAAACAATCAGTCATTATAAGGTTGTTGGTAAACAAGAGTATTCTGTTTTAATGTTTAACTGTTGAATCAGTCGATAAGAGATATGCCTATTTTTGTATCTGCTTGTGAGAAATTAGAATGCAACACAACTTTTCACTTTGGGGTAAAGAATACAGTATTAGTTTGATTTGCCACAAAAACAGCAAAATTATTTCTAGAGAGCAATGTGTAAAAGCAACTTTCTTTATTCCAGCTTTGTTTTATTGTTAAACAATTTTTTATATTACAATTTTGATATTTTTCCAATGTTCACACTGGTACCCACTTTTCCTTTCTGATGGACCTGATGTGTGAGCGTAGGGCCATCTCCTCCGCGTGCGTCATCCCGTCTAGGGACTCACCGCTGGTCACTGAGACTCCAGACACTCGCTTTTTCTCCTCTATAGGACTCTGTAGTAATATCATCAACATCTTTCATTTTCTTTGCCATTGTAAGCAGTGAGATTCTCACTACACTGATGTACATTTTGTTAAAACAGTCTTATACATTAACTTATTATTTTGAAATAACAGTAAAACATACAGGTAGTTACATATTTTGTGTATTGGAGCATCAGGTTCAAATGTTCGTTTTACTCTTGTTTTGATATATACTACCTGTCTCAAATTGGGTTTGCAAATAACAAGTAATTTAAATATGAACACACTTACCTGATAAGTTAAATATATATATAAGTAGATATTAAGCATTTCACATCAATTGGGTTTAATTTTTTTTTTTATTTCGAGTATTCTATTTAAAGAAAAAAAGAAATCTGACCACTAGAATTATCATGTTGAGAAATTATCTCTTTCGCGCCATAACAGATTGTTCCACGGCATGTAAGTCTGGGCCCAAGGACCAGCTAAGGGGCCTACATTCTTCATACGGCCCAAACTGACTGTTACGAATTCTTACCTTCCTCATGCTGGCCCTGACAACATTGAGTCGGTCTGTGGCCGTCTCTGCGGCAGTCTCCAGGGTACTGATGTCCTCCAGGGTAGATTTCAGCTTATATAGTTGTTCCTGTATGATGTGGTTTATCACCCTGTGAAGAAAAAATCCAGTATTTCCATTTAATTTATTTAAGGACACATTATAGATATGATTGAACAATATTATATGTGTGACCTTTAACTTACCCCATTTTACAACTAGCATTTCACAGAAGTTACAGTAATTTCATACCTTGACATACGTATCACTACCAGAGATGGTGTCAAAGCCATCAAATGCTCGCCTGTTTAAAATTTCATCGTATTTAAAAGTTTGTTTGTAAAAATTTAAAGTTCAAAACAGGTCAAAAGTCTGAAACATTTAAAATCATTTTTTTAATTTTAACTTCATTTCATCAATATCATTCTCCACAGGAACCTCCATGCCAAATATCAGCATCCTAGTACACATATTCAATGAATGACAAGCTTCTAAATAACAAGCCATTACAGTCAGTAAACTTCAAGACAAAATTAGTTTCACTTTTAAAGCCCAATTTTTTATATATATTTTTCCATCGAAATTTGAAATTAAAAAGACACCAATGCAGTCCTATATTTATAATCAATACAGAGTTGTGCCCCTTACTTGGTCTGTCTTGGCACCTGGCTGAGCGAGTCCTGTGCCTGTAGGTTCCTGCTCGTCCGCAGCAGACAAGGGGCAAATATAATGGACAGTCCTGTCACAGACATCTTATTGAAGGCCTCATGGTGAGCTACCCTGTAAACCGTCAACATGTTTAAATGATGTCCTTCCTCCATAAAACCTTGTGCTATACCACAAACATTTTAAAACATGATTAGAGTATAATCATGAAACTTTCTTCACATTGATACAGTGTAAATCATTTTATATCTGTCCTACCATATTTTTACCTCTGACCTTTTGAAGCAAATTGCCCTGCTTTCAATTTTCCCTCTTGTTCAAGGGCAATTTCCAGTTTCACAGTATACTGTAAATGAACTCGGGTATCACTGTATAACAATACTCCTGTCTCTGCTTTGTTGCATACAGCATCACCTAGCATTACAGCAATATATTGGTTTTGTATTCAGCAGTTATCACGAATAAGCACTTCCTATCACCAGGGCCTGAATTCATGAAACCGTTCTCATGCTTGAGCTCTGAGTCTGTGCTGAAGCCTGATTTCTTGTTCCATGATCAATAAATTTAAAATTAATATTTGGTCTATGATTTGGAAGAATTCTGTAGAGACTTCAAGCTGAATACTGTTTCAAATGTTACACATAACATTTTGATCATTTCGCACAATTTAAGCGCGTTATAAGAAAGTTGGGTTGAGCACTGAATCCATGCTTGAGCATTAGAATGGTTTCACGAATACGGGCCCAGAACTACGTACATTTCACAACCAGTCACTTTTGTCTAATGTATTGATGTAAATAACTGGAATGAAACCTTGGGTACGTACCTGGCCAGGTGGAATATAAGCCTCTCAAACAGGTCGAAGTTGATCTTGGGTAGTTTGTCTATAACAGCATATAGAGACTGAATTCTTTCCTTCNACCTGGCTGAGCGAGTCCTGTGCCTGTAGGTTCTTGCTCGTCCGCAGCAGACAAGGGGCAAATATAATGGACAGTCCCGTCACAGACATCTTATTGAAGGCCTCATGGTGAGCTACCCTGTAAACCGTCAACATGTTTAAATGATGTCCTTCCTCCATAAAACCTTGTGCTATACCACAAACATTTTAAAACATGATTAGAGTATAATCATGAAACTTTCTTCACATTGATACAGTGTAAATCATTTTATATCTGTCCTACCATATTTTTACCTCTGACCTTTTGAAGCAAATTGCCCTGCTTTCAATTTTCCCTCTTGTTCAAGGGCAATTTCCAGTTTCACAGTATACTGTAAATGAACTCGGGTATCACTGTATAACAATACTCCTGTCTCTGCTTTGTTGCATACAGCATCACCTAGCATTACAGCAATATATTGGTTTTGTATTCAGCAGTTATCACGAATAAGCACTTCCTATCACCAGGGCCTGAATTCATGAAACCGTTCTCATGCTTGAGCTCTGAGTCTGTGCTGAAGCCTGATTTCTTGTTCCATGATCAATAAATTTAAAATTAATATTTGGTCTATGATTTGGAAGAATTCTGTAGAGACTTCAAGCTGAATACTGTTTCAAATGTTACACATAACATTTTGATCATTTCGCACAATTTAAGCGCGTTATAAGAAAGTTGGGTTGAGCACTGAATCCATGCTTGAGCATTAGAATGGTTTCACGAATACGGGCCCAGAACTACGTACATTTCACAACCAGTCACTTTTGTCTAATGTATTGATGTAAATAACTGGAATGAAACCTTGGGTACGTACCTGGCCAGGTGGAATATAAGCCTCTCAAACAGGTCGAAGTTGATCTTGGGTAGTTTGTCTATAACAGCATATAGAGACTGAATTCTTTCCTTCTCATCCTGGATATCTGTCAAATAAAACAACAGGAATTTCATATGTAGTACATATGTAACACAAATACCTAGGTGAACTAACCTTACCAAAGTAAGAGGTTCCTAGGTGTACAAGGGTAACCATAGTAACAGGGGTCCCTAGGTGTACTACAGTTACCATAGTATCACAAATACCTAGGTGTACTAGGTTTACCATAGTAACAGGGATTCCTAGGTGTACTACAGTTACCATAGTATCAGGGGTCCCTAGGTGTACTAGGGTTACCATAGTAATAGGAATTCCTAGGTGTACTAAGGTTACCATAGTAACAGGGGTTCCTAGGTGTACTTTGGTTACCATAGCAACAGGGGTTTCTAGGTATTCCTTGGTTACCATAGTAACAGGGGTTCCTAGATGTACTACGGTTTCTATAGTAACAGGGGTTGTAAGGTGTACTTCGGTTACCATATCAGGAATACCTAGGTGTACTATGGTTACCATATGAAAGTAATAATAATAATTCGAGGTTTTTATATACCGCTTTACCACAACCTTGTTCATAGGTCGTCTCAAAGCGGTTCACAAAATATCATCCGTGGTTATAGGGCCTTTGCAACCAGCTAGTATCTCTCTGAACTCCCTGGGGAGCATACAGCCGGAGCTGCCATTTCGGCGCTAACAGCTGGCATTCAACAATTCTAGCACTGCCTAACCACATACTCATTTACAGCTAAGTAGACTGGAACAAGTGGAGTAAAGTATCTTGCTCAAAGATACAACACAGAGCCGTGCCCTGACTCGAACCCGCAACCCTACGGTCACCAGCCCGGCATCGTACCACTAGACTACTGTGCCTCCAAAGTAATAGGAATTCCTAGGTGTTCTAGGGTTACCAGTATTCCTATAACATTGTGAAGAAAAACCCAAAAAAATAGGATCACATTACAGCAGTATTAATACTGTAAGTACATGACATACCTGTTGTCCTGATGAAATCATCATAAAGGTCAAAGGTCAGCAGGGGTTCAGGTAGTTCTACAAAGTATTTCTTCAATGTGGAGGCCAGAGTGTGAACATTAAACTCCACGAGGTCTATATCTGACAAGTCTGGAAAAAATAGAACAAATATTAATACTAAATAGGTAAGAAAACTAAAGATCCCTGTCCCATTGCACTGTGGTTTGTCCCACATACAGTAGCCTCCTCTTAATTTTCATTTGGATATGTCTGTAGCACAGTAGCACAGTTTGGTCAGCACACGTCCATTGACCAGGTAGCTCAATAGGTTTGAGCGATAGAGAAGCAATACGAAGGCAGTGTTCGAACCCAAGCTCCACTGACTTTTTATCCTAAGAAAACTGTTGTATTGTTGTATATATATTTTGTCTATTTCATCTTTATCATTTCTCAAGAAATTTCCGCAAGGCATAGTTTTATTTTCAGAAATGATTTATCAAAGCTATAACTGTGCCGCAAAAATAGTTTCCAAAATTTATTTACAGTTTTTGTCAGTGGTACATACGGGGATCCCATATTTCATATACTGTAAAAGAGAAAATTCTGATGTGATTTAGAACTGATAGCAGTGTATAGCCATAGACAAGGCCAGCTTACCTTCTTTTCCACAGTCAAGGTTCTGCTTCAGAAGTTTGACCTTGGCATTGGCGCCGCTCTTCCGGTAAACCCCCACAGTATACAGGCCATGCAGTTCCACCAGGTTGATCAGTTTCCCTACTACCACAGGTATTTTGTCTTTTTCCGAGATAAGACTCGCCAGTGGAGCACCAAAAACACATCTGGCCGTTCCAGCCTGGAAAACGCAAGTCTGTATATTATTGATAGAAATCGTAACACTTATTTCTCTTTACATCACTTAAGTTTTTGTGTGAACATTTATTTTTTGCGATTGTCCTTCCTTCCAATGCCATGTCTGCAAGTATTCAAATTAGCGAAAAGGACAATAACCACCAGATGTCCCTTGCTTACTTGTATCTTAATAAATTTTTGCAAGATGGTCTCTACTCCTTAAGTTACACGGAAATAAGCATCTCAGGGACTATCAGTGATATACACAATACGATGTCGAGTTAGATAAAGCTGCTTTATCTACCTGAATTAATATCTATTATGCTTTTACCTTGAAAGTCATTCCGTTTCGTCTATCTGATATTTCTATGAAATTTCAAGAAATTTTAAATGCTATATATATGGTTTTTATTCAAGAATCTGTTCCATATGATCCAATAATTATATTCCATCCACCTCCTGTGATTTGTGAATAAATGCAATACAAAGAATATGGGCAGTGTAAAATAAATATAACAAGTTTGTGAATAAGATATTATATTCTTTACAATGTCAACATCTGCATCCTTGATCATCAACATTGCTGTGTGTAAAACAAATAAATAAGTGAATTGAGAAAGTCTGAAACAGTGAGCATCCTTGTGCAGACATATAAAAACTGATAAAAATAATGTGAGAAAATGTTTTTTTTTAATCATGTATGGCTACATGCTCTTGACTTCAATAATTGATGGATGAAATTTTTACATTGTGAAATTACGTTTCACATTAATGGAAAAGTATTTTACATTCATTGAAAAATACATTCATGAAATATGTACACAGATACATTGTGTTGGGTGTTTTTTTTCAATATAAATACTGACATACCTTGCACAAAGTTTGATTAAAATTAGCTAAGAAATTAAGTTGCTAGAGTAATATTAATGATTTTATTTTTTCTTCCAAAAATAGAATTGTTTTCCTTGAACTTGGGTGCAGCATCATCACAGTAATGTTAAGTGTCAGAGCAGTCAGCTCAGAAATGAAATTGCCTGAGTGATAAAATGATTTCTAAAAATGATAGGTGAATTTTACCTATGTGAAGCACCACGAAATGCAAGCTTTTCAATTTGTCTTTTCATTTTGAATTATTACTGGTACCTAACATGAGTATGAAATTCATCAAAATCAGGGAAAATGTAAAATTGCTAGACAGAAAAATAGTTTTTTTCTATGAAGAGTAAAGATTTTCCTTGACCTTGGGTGCAGTACCTTGAAATGTGAACTCCTCTGAGCTAGGTTCTGTTGAACCTTACACTTCCAAAATATTTCATAAAAATCAGTCGAGAAGCGCGGCTACTTGAGTGATGACAAGTCAGGAACATGTGTACGGAACAATGCTATATCCTCTTCAACTTTCTTCAAGGGGATATTTATATAATCTTTATATTTATGATTAAATTAAAAGATTTGTTGTAACTTAATGCCAACGAAGTATTCAAAACTTGCCTATAAGTATCTGCTATAATATTGTCAATGTTCCTTGAAAGTAAGTTAAGGTCAAATAAATGGAAAATGAAAGTAACTAAACTGATTTAAAATGTCCTTTGAAAATAAGTTAACTTTAAGGTAAAATAAATGGAAAATGAAAGTAAAAAATATAATTTCACATTTGCTTTATACAAAGAACAGGTGTGTACAATATCACTATAGGATGGAATATACAATGTATGATAGTATATCTGATATGGTATAACACAAACATTGGAATGTGCACACAAAGGGGGGTGTAAGAAGGACGTGGACAATTAGCACGTGGAACCACGAGTGATATTTACCACAGACATCAATAGCAACATTGTGCTGGTGCTATACACTAAATCTGTGTAGTCAGTATGACCAAACTGTAAGGATGGAACAGTTCAAAGGAATACAATTAGCTAGGCAATTAACTCATTCACCGGCTTTCTTCCCTGAAATTTTATAATGAACTATTCCAACCTTTGAATTGGAAGAGTTCAAATTTGTCTTCAAGGGTGACCATGTTAACAAAGTAACAGCTTTTTGATTCATTACCATTTTAAAGATAGATTAGGAAATATTTCAAAATGTTGAAAATATTCTTATATTTTTAGAGAATAAAAAGAGAAATCATTAACTTTTTATACATATTATATCACTTGGGACAAATAATAGACACTATACATAAACTCAAGCAGCTAGAATTCAAAAACATTCCAAAGAAGTTTATCCAAACAAAACAATAAACAAAAACATTTTACTACAAAGCAATTTAAATATTANTTACATTCATTGAAAAATACATTCATGAAATATGTATACCGATACATTGTGTTGGGTGGTTTTTTTCAATATAAATACTGACATAACTTGCACAAAGTTTGATTAAAATTAGCTGAGAAATTAAGTGATACCTTGCACAAAGTTTGATTAAAATTAGCTGAGAAATTAAGTGGTAGAGTAATAATAATGATTTTAACTTTTTCTTCCAAAAATAGAATTGTTTTCCTTGAACTTGGGTGCAACATCATCAAAGTATTGTTAAGTGTCAGTACAGTCAGCTCAGAAATGAAATTGCCTGAGTGATGAAATGATTTCTATGTGAAGCACCACGAAATGCAAGCTTTTCAATTTGTCTTTTCATTTTGAATTATTACTGGTACCTAACATGAGTATGAAATTCATCAAAATCAGGGAAAATGTAAAATTGCTAGACAGAAAAATAGTTTTTTTCTATGAAGAGTAAAGATTTTCCTTGACCTTGGGTGCAGTACCTTGAAATGTGAACTCCTCTGAGGTTCTGTTGTACCTTACACTTCCAAAATGTTTCATAAAAATCAGTCGAGAAACGCGGCTACTTGAGTGATGACAAGTCAGGAACATGTGTACGGGAAAATGCTATATCCTCTTCAACTTTCTTCAAGGGGATATTTATATAATCTTTATATTTATGATTAAATCAAAAGATTTGTTGTAACTAAATGCCAACGAAGTATTCAAAACTTGCCTATTAGTATCTGCTATGATATTGTCAATGTTCCTTGAAAGTAAGTTAACTTTAAGGTAAAATAAATGGAAAATGAAAGTAAAAAATATAATTTCACATTTGCTTTATACAAAGAACAGGTGTGTACAATAATATCACTATAGGATGGAATATACAATTTATGATAGTATATCTGATATGGTATAACACAAACATTGGAATGTGCACACAAAGGGGTGGTGTAAGAAGGACGTGGACAATTAGCACGTGGAACCACGAGTGATATTTACCACAGACATCAATAGCAACATTGTGCTGGTGCTATACACTAAATCTGTGTAGTCAGTATGACCAAACTGTAAGGATGGAACAGTTCAAAGGAATACAATTAGCTAGGCAATTAACTCATTCACCGACTTTCATCCCTGAAATTTTATAATGAACTATTCCAACCTTTGAATTGGAAGAGTTCAAATTTGTCTTCAAGGGTGACCATGTTAACAAAGTAACAGCTTTATGATTCATTAACATTTTAAAGATAGATTAGGAAATATTTCAAAATGTTGAAAATATTCTTATATTTTTAGAGAATAAAAAGAGAAATCATTAACTTTTTATACATATTATATCACTGGGACAAATAATAGACACTATACATATAAACTCAAGCAGCTAGAATTCAAAAACATTCCAAAGAAGTTTATCCAAACAAAACAATAAACAAAAACATTTTACTACAAAGCAATTTAAATATTATGGAACATCAACATGTTGATATATTTACAATATCAACTGTCAAAGAGTGGTCAAGTTCACCAGAAGAATATTACAAAATTCCAAAGCTGTCTTAATTTTGAATTAAAGATTAACATGAAAAGGCATCTTATTTACTCAGAGTGCAGCCTTTTTTCAGCAACGTAAAGGCAGTCTTTGGTATGGGTTAAAACCACTACCAGAGCACCATTACCACATCATCAATACTAAAATATAAATCCCACCAGGCTCGGGTTTTATCAATATCCTTTAGCTTAAATTAAGATTTTCTCTTCAAATGCTTCTCCCAATGATGAAATTAAAGCAAGGGAAAAAATCATGATTTTTTTATCGTAAAACTGAATCAAGTTCAGTTCTGTTTTATTACAAATGAATTGAAGGAGATGTTATGTTAATGATGTTGAAATGAAGCACAAATCATAATGAATGATCTGATGGAAAAAGGTAAAGCGAAAAAAACCCACAACAACAACAAAATGTCACATCGCAGCTGGTATAAAAAAACTGAAAAGAAAGAAAATATTAGCCAAAGGATGACAGTACAACATCAAAAGTCTTGGGACGATATATCCACATAAGTATAACTCACAAACAGATCGGTCAAGTGCTCCCCTAAGCTTGAATGAAAGCAGCAATTGAACTGATCCCAACGGTAGTACTGTCAAGCACAGGAATGAAGATAGACCAATCACATAGACATCTGGTTAGATATGTTGGTCATGTGATTTACATAGGAACCAATCACATGATATGTACATTGCAACGATGACTGCCTACAAATAAACGTAGCAAACACTTTTCCTTACACACCAAGTTGTGGAGGTCAGATTTGCTGAAATCGAATTTTTTTAATTGCTTGATGGCCGAGGCAGATATACATACCTAAGTAACCAAGTAGACTTGTTTAATAATGTGTTCTGGGGTATCAATCCAGATTTGTACAAAACATTTGGACGGATAATTTGATCTTTCACAACTTGTTATAAAGACAATAAGAACAAGAGGCCCAATGGGCCTGTATCGCTCACCTGGTATTAATCTCACAATTGTAACCTTAAGAGTGGACTAAAATAAAGCTACAGGCAAAATATCAGTGTCTTGGCTTAAGTCATTCAAAAGAACCTGTTAAAAGATTAAAACATATTTGACCCCTGTGACCTTAAAAGCCAAACATGGACATTAAATTAAAAAAAACTCTATAGCCTTCCTCACTGAATGCAACTTGTCAAACATCACCCTAATGGCCCTATACCTTTTGTTTATTGAGGTGACTTTTAAAGATTTATGCACTGTGGACCAGATGTGACCTCGTAAGTATGTCAAGGTCATTCACATGAACAACTGATCACCCTGGAACCCTTAAGCTATCCAGAAGTTGTTTTTAAGTGTTTTTAAGACAAATATCCCCTGTGACCTTGAATATGAGTGAAGGGCATTCATCCAAGCATGCTACTGGCCAAATATCTTCAGCCTGGGTCTCTTGGTTATTAAGAAGAAGTTGTCAAAAGTTTTCAACATATATGACCCCTGTGACCTTGAATATGGGCAAAGGTTATTTCTTTTCGCAAAGTTTGTCAGGCTTCATCCTAGGAACCTATCAGCCAAATATCACGTCTCTGGGCCTTTTGGTTAATCAGCAAAAGTCGTTTAAAGATTTGAACAAATTTGACCCCTGTGACCTTGAATATGGGCAAAGGTAATTTCTTTTTGCAAACTTTGTTGGGCTTCATCCTAGGAACCTATCAGCCATATATCATGCTTCTGGGCCTTTTGGTTAATCAGAAGAAGTTGTTTGAAGGTTTTAACAAATTTGACCCCTGTGACCTTGAATAAGGGTCAAAATAATTTCTTTTCGCAAACTTTGTCAGGCTTCATCCTAGAAACCTATCAGCCCGATATCAAGCTTCTGGGCCTTTTGGTTAATCAGAAGAACTCGTTTAAAAAAGGTTTTAACAAATTTGACCCATGTGACCTTGAATATGGGTCAAGGTCATTTCTTTTTTCAAACTTTGTTGGGCTTCATCCTAGCAACCAACCAGCCAAATATCATGACATTTGGTTTGTTGGTTATTGAGAAGAAGTCGTTTAAATGGAAAAGTTGATGCCGGACGGACGCCGGCCAGGTGAGATAAAGATGTTGATCTTCTATAACAAAGGCAATCTATGAATCATGCATTCTGGACCCCAACAGACCCCACCATCCCCACATACCCTCTCCATTCCTAATTGCAACCACAACCTCTTGACCCCTCATACATACCCTCTTTATTCCATGATGCCATCATAACCTTATGACAAAGTTCACCCTTGTTTCTTCCCTCACTATTCTTATCGGCCACCACAACCTCCTGACAAAGTTACTCATCACCCCTGCCAAATTTATTTTTCACTGCCACCACAACAACCATCTGACAAGTTCTCCCTAATCTCCACCCTCGCAATTCTTCACTACCACCACAACCTCTTGACAAAGTTCAAGCATTTGCTAGGTTTAATTCTCTACATTGTGGGCACAGTCAAGATTTATCAACAGGAACCAAAAAGAGAAAATTTTGGATAAATCTATCTTAATTCTCTATAAAAAAAAGATTATTTGAAAATACTGGATTTTATTTTTTGGAATGATAAACATTTATCTGAAAGAAAGAATAATTCTTTTTGGTTTGCCTGTGGACAATCTCTTTTGTGATTTTAACAGATAACAACATTAATAGGTGCGTAGTCAGCAAACCAATAAACTGGAAAATCATATAACCTCGGCCATAAGGTTGAGGCGAAGGACAAGGGACTGCACCCTATGTCCTGTGGGAACTTTTGTGGTAGATGGTTCAACGATGTCGGTCTGAAAAATCACGTACACAAATAGTCATCGGTCAGATAATTTGATTGAAAAATGGGGGAAACAATCAACCATGCTGTATCTTCAATCATGCATCACTGGGCCAGGTGTCAAACCATTTTGGAGGAATTTAACAATAAGAATTTAAAAGAAACCTCACAAGATTTTAAGTCATCCAATGATTCACGAAAGTTGCATTCACTATATTTCTCTACTAATACGAGGACTTCACTGCCACAAGCACTACACTGCTGTATTTATCAAATCTTGATCATGTGGAAGATTTAAAAGTCAACTCATTCCTGTAAGTTCCATATCAAAACATTAATTAAATACTTGCATAGTGTAAAGTATTGTGACCAATTAATGTCACCATCAAATAAGATCGTCTTGATTTGCTTTGAAATACACTTCCTGATTCACTTAAGTTTAAAGAATAACTTAAAACTAAGAATATTACCAAAAAGGAAGGGAAAATGGCATGATTATCAAATTTATACTGTTACATTGTTCTTTGTGATGTACCAATGGTTGTTAACTCATTCACCTCTCAAGACACATTTGAACTCAACCAATTCAAAGGTTGGAATAGTTCATTATGAAATTTTGGGGGTTAATTACTTGATAAGAGGTAAACGTTCGAATGGTTCTACACTCTTGAATTTTGTCTGGCAGCCATATAACTTTTCCTGATGTTTTTTTTTTTTTTACTAAATTTTGATAAAAATTGTCTCCATTTCAAAACGAAATCTTCGAGTACCATACGATTACCTACCTCCAACTCTCGTCCCAAACATGCCAAATTTTATGGTGGCATGCAGAATAAACACAGGACCACTGGTACAATCACGACACCACAAAACTATTGAGGGGGACAAACTTTTACCGAGGAGAGGAGAGGAAGTCAAAAGGATCAGCCAGTCATTCAAATGGAGTCAAAAAGAATGGTCAGACAGAAACGACTATCTTGAAAATATGAAGACTTCCGCATCTTAAGAAAATGAAATACAAGGGCATTTCTAGACATGATAGAATCAACCGACTCAGAATTAAGCCTTATCATCAGGTTTCAAATATTTCAAGAACTTGTTGAAACCAGTGGTCAATGAAAAACACTATTAATAGCCCCCATCCCCACAAAAAACACTATTAATATCCCCCCCTCCCCACAAAAAACACTATTAATAACCCCCCTCCCCACAAAAAAACTCAGAATTAAGCCTTATCATCAGGTTTCAAATATTTCAAGAACTTGTTGAAACCAGTGGTCAATGAAAAACACTATTAATAGCCCCCATCCCCACAAAAAACACTATTAATATCCCCCCCTCCCCACAAAAAACACTATTAATAACCCCCCTCCCCACAAAAAAACTCAGAATTAAGCCTTATCATCAGGTTTCAAATATTTCAAGAACTTGTTGAAACCAGTGGTCAATGAAAAACACTATTAATAGCCCCCATCCCCACAAAAAACACTATTAATATCCCCCCCTCCCCACAAAAAACACTATTAATAACCCCCCTCCCCACAAAAAAACTCAGAATTAAGCCTTATCATCAGGTTTCAAATATTTCAAGAACTTGTTGAAACCAGTGGTCAATGAAAAACACTATTAATAGCCCCCATCCCCACAAAAAACACTATTAATATCCCCCCCTCCCCACAAAAAACACTATTAATAACCCCCCTCCCCACAAAAAAACTCAGAATTAAGCCTTATCATCAGGTTTCAAATATTTCAAGAACTTGTTGAAACCAGTGGTCAATGAAAAACACTATTAATAGCCCCCCTCCCCACAAAAAACACTATTAATAGCCCCCCCCTCCCCACAAAAAACACTATTAATAACCCCCCTCCCCACAAAAAAAACACCCTGCATTCACAAATAATGCAGGTTTATGTGAGATTGATTCAGCATAAAAGAAACAGAGTTGTGATTTCACGAAACCATGGCAACATTAAGTGTATCACATGACAGCTAATATGAATGTCTTGGAAATGCTAATCAGACAAACAAGGTACTATGAGGAAAAATTTGAATACAACCTTGATACAAATGTGACCAGTCATTTAAACTCAGATTAAGACAATTTGTCTGTAAAATCCCAAGTATTCATGTTTTCTGAGCTTAAGACAGTGATGTTTAATAATACAAATTTGCCAAGTACAGTTTTAACAGACAATATTTATATTTACAACTGTATTCAAATTGAAACAATTTCTGTTTAAAGGGAAGTGGAAATTGTGAAAATTTAAGAAGTGCAGCAAGCTCAACAGCTAAAGCTTTCTGGCCCTAAAATGGCATTCCAAGCCACGTACTGATCAGCTCATGAAATATGTGATTTGTGAAGGTGACAAAACCACATATGAAAACGTGATCTAAGAAGTAAGATGACTGAGGGATGGATGGAGGGAACAACATGATCTGTACAGGGAACAGAGTGTTTGATGCGTACAGTCGAAGTGTGACAGATTATCAGCTGAAAGTCGTCGGTATTTACCTGCGTATCGTGAACACCCTTACATGTGTTGCCAGATTTCGTCACACACTTCCGATGACAGGTGTATTTACAAACTGAAAGATAGAAATTCTAGATATCATTCTCATACACCCAAGGCAAGGAAATGTCATGCAATGCCTACAGCAAGTTTATTTTTTCTCAACATCTGTCCCCATATTGGTTTACAAGCAGTTTACCTGTAGTTTTACAATCACCGCGAATTGTGTACATACATCAAAAGGTAAAAGAATTTTTTATGCAAATATGAAATTTCGATATTTAGAGATTTTATCGTATACATACACTGGAATCTTTCATATTTACAGCTTTAATCATAAATATACCATCAGTCATCATGAGCATGGATATACATTACTTAACATGACCGAGAAAGAAAAATATCAAGCCAATATCGGATTGATATGTCTCGCGTGTGTCCCGCTTTGACCATCAATGCACATGTCAAGTTTGGTTGGTCTAGCACTTATAGATTCAGAGAAAGTAGCTTAAACGCAAAAACTTAATGTTGATGGAGATGCTGACAACGTCAATGAACCATGAAAAAGGTAGGCCGCATCCAGCATCTGATGCATGGGTTGAGATGTACTACCGAAGATATATTTCAGTGAAACTAACTTAAACACAAAAACTTAAATGTTGATGCCGCCGTCGCCGGAAAAACAACACCTTAGTCTCGCTTCCACTACTAAGTGGCGGTGAGACAAAAACATCAGATCCAGTGATACATTTTTGTATAGAATGTTTTTCAAATGCATCTTTGAGATATATTCTTATATACGGATTCCTGTCCCACTACTTTGTGGTTTTTGGTATAAACAGCAACCTCCCTTTAACTTCTGTTTGGATATAACGGTAGCACAGTTGGGCCAGCACACTTCTGTTGACCTGCAGGTAGCTCAATTGGTTAGAGCGATAGTATAACAATCTGAAGTCCAGTGTTTGAATCCTGGTCTGGCCCTGCTTAATATTTTCAACTCAGAACACTGTTGTTGATTATATTTTGTTAAAGTCCCGCAAAATATGGCTATCTTTTCAGAAATTATTTCTAACACTTAGTTACAGTTCTTGGCAGTGGTACGGGGATTCTTTAAACAGTAATTACAGGACATTTAGAGTTACCTACCTTGACAAACACTCCCTTTCTCCATGATCCAAATGATATTACTGCAGAACTCGCAGAATGTGGGAATACCAAACTGCACCAGGCTGAACTTGTGTCCCTGGTATTCCTGAAAAAGCACACAAATGTTGTTAACGCTATCAGCCCTAGGTAGCTTGAGTAGACTCTACCATAAATTCATCTGGATGAGTCCATTATGGTCTACAGTAGTGAAAGGGTTAAACACATCTACAAACACAACTTGTATACCCACATCCTCACAAATATCTACAAACTACTATCATATATATTTTTTCACCCTGTATACAGCATACCTTATCCAGTGAACAAGTTAAATCTATACTTCGCATAAAAACTGAAGTCAAGCACTAAAAGCACCTATTTATACTGTATATCTCTATATATTTTTACTATAAAATTGCAAGGAGATTTTATTGTAGATTTCAATATCTCATGAATATAAACCTATGCATGAATATAAACCTATGCAAGATTTACATATTGGGTACTAGTACTCTATTCATGAAAATAAATATTTGTAAAACTCCATTATTTACACAGTGAATGGAATTACCAACGTAGTAAAAGCGAGCATGATTCAACATAAAGGATATATTCAATATAGGTAAGAGGCTTTAGAAACAGAAGCAGCTTTAAAAACACAGTTTGCAGATGAAGCACTTCAACAGGATACTCTTTCTAATACATTTGTATAACTTAAATATAATTAATGGATACCAACTTCCTTATCGCTGTTGATCATATAGACTGGATAAAATGTTTGAAAACTGACCAACACATCTTTTTTCTTATGTTCTCGTTTCTGCGCCCTAGTTTCTGTTTTTCTGTCTTCCTTCTTCTTTTCTTTCTTGTGGTTTTTGATGAACTCGTCCATAAAGCCACGGAAAGCGTTGATGCCCATTGTGACGGGAAAGGAGGCATTGGTACCCTCAGCTTTTACTTCAGCATCTAATGTGTGGACGAACTTGGCAAAGATGTTCCGGTATGGCACATGTATTTCTATCTTCTGTAAACACACCATTACATCACTCTGTATATTCCTATATTCACAAGTTCAGCTAAACTACTAAATTTTCAAATATTTTCAGAATGAACAACTTTTCAATACAATACTTTACAGTAAACCCTCAATATAATGCCCCTTGTTTATATACAGTAAACCATTGATATAATGTCACTCATCTATACACAGTTCAACTCCTATATATTTACATTTGCCCCCGCGCCGTCCTATTACAACAGTGTTAGAGGGCNTACAGTAAAACCTCAATATCATGCCCCTTGTTTATACAGTAAAACCTCCATATAATGCCCCTTGTTTATACAGTAAAACCTAAATATAATGCCCCTTGTTTATACAGTAAAACCTCAATATAATGCCCTTTGTTTATACAGTAAAACCTAAATATAATGCCCCTTGTTTATACAGTAAAACCTCAATATAATGCCCCTTGTTTATACAGTAAAACCTAAATATAATGCCCCTTGTTTATACAGTAAAACCTCAATATAATGCCCNGTGGCCTCTGGCAAATCTACCATAAACCCCTGGCGGGTTTTATGGGATTTGTCAGAGGCCACTTGTAATTATATCAACAATAATTACATCCAGACAACCAGTTATTGTTTAAATAATGCCCCTTGTTTATATACAGTAAAACTTCAATAGAATGCCCCTTGTTTATACAGTAAAAGCCTAATATTATGCCCCTTCTTTATACAGTAAAACCTAAATATAATGCCCCTTGTTTATATACAGTAAAACTTCAATAGAATGCCCCTTGTTTATACAGTAAAACCTCAATATAATGCCCCTTGTTTATACAGTAAAACCCTAATATTATGCCCCTTCTTTATACAGTAAAACCTAAATATAATGCCCCTTGTTTATATACAGTAAAACTTCAATAGAATGCCCCTTGTTTATACAGTAAAACTTGATACCATGCCCCTTCTTTTTACAGTAAAACTTGATACCATGCCCCTTGTTTTTACAGTAAAACTTGATACCATGCCCTTTGTTTTTACAGTAAAACTTGATACAATGCCCTTTGTTTTTACAGTAAAACTTGATACCATGCCCCTTGTTTTTACAGAAAAACTTGATACCATGCCCTTTGTTTTTACAGTAAAACTTGATACAATGCTCTTTGTTTTTACAGTAAAACCTCAATATAATGCCCTTGTTTTCACAGTAAAACTTGATACAATGCCCCTTGTTTTTACAGTAAAACTTGATACCATGCCCCTTGTTTTATTTGCTACCTCAATTGCGAACATATTTCAAGGAGCAACTTTCTTCTCTCAACAATTTCCTTTACTAACTAACTCCTTTATTACGCCACGTTTTCACCGTACTGATGGTGGAAGTATATTACAAGGTTGTATCGTGTGTTGATCCATAACTTAATAATAAATATGTTGAAATTGATAATCGATTCACAAATTCACCTTTTTACAATAGTACAAGCCTTTTCTACATTCAGTTCCTATTTCAGACCTGCAACTGGTTTATTGCCATCATCATGGGATATGTCAGTTACCTTTTTCTCCACAGATATAAGAGCTTGCATGTCTCTGTGAAACTCCTTCAGCGATCTTTTAAATACAGCATCAAATATTGTGTCCCTTCTCGCACAGTCTTTATTATAAGCTGAAAGCTGGAAAAGCATGAACAAAGCAACATGAGATACCAAAGATAAACATTTTAGGAACAGAAATAACCTTTATTTATTATTTAATATGTATAGTTACTTGTAATCTAAAATCCATTGCTGACAATACTTTGTTGAAGTTTTCGTTTTAACAAACAGGAAACAAACTGTATTGATGCTACTGTAAAGCTGGTGTTCTTTAATATATATACATTATTAGCATGTCAGTTTTGATGAAAGTTGAATCAGACAAATTTTTCTTTCTATGAAACATTTATATTTTAGTTTATTTCTGAACAGGTTTGTATTTCTTTGGAAACATTTTTCTATTGATGTTCATGTCAAGAACGCTACCAATGGTAATTGATACAAAAACAATTCTTACTTTTTTATGAATGAATTCATCAAGCTGCAAGATCTCGGAGATGTCCTTGAGACCTAGATCCTCGGGGTATTGCCACAGGGAGGTGCCTGACAATGTCCACTCATTCCTCTGAGGTGACGAGGACTTCTTCTCCAGCTCAACAGGCTTCCTGTCCTGTCGTTTCTTTCTGCCTTTACGGTCGGGTCGGTCCGTGTTGGACACTGAGCTCAGATCCTCCTGAGATCCTTGCACTGACCCCTTCCTGGTTGTCGGCGACTTAGGGGCAGGTAACTCTACAGGTAAAACTGATACACCAACTGAAAGAAAAAAAACATTTTTACTTTTCCACAGTAACGTTGTTCAGCTGTCATTTAAATCCTAATGATCTTGATGATTTTAACTTTATTCTAACTTCAAAACATTTGAAAAGGATCATGCAAGAACCCTTCTCTGTGGGGACATTCGTATGTTAAGAAGCTGACCCTGGGGTCTCCGCCTTAGCAGTGACCAATATCAGTAGATGAAATGATGTACTGAAGCCTTAAAAACAATTTGTTAAAGTTATCAATCTACAGGAAATAGATACAGCATATTCCTATCTAAATCAGTACAGGATGGATATATGTTGTATGAAATATGATAACACCTTAACGGTCTAACCTGTTCTATTCCAAATAAAGCAGAGAAACATATTCCATTGTTACAACTATGAAATAAGCCACACAAAAGGCTAAAAGCATTCATTATCTATTTTTAAGTCTGATATAACAGTTCTGTAACTATTTCATACCTACATGCGTAATGTTTATTCTGATAACCTGTATATTCCTGCAGGCTATTTTCGTCCACAGTAATTAGCAATCTTACTAAGTACCTACGGTTAAATCTAACCACAGACTGACTCACGTTGCTCATCCCATTCAAACTCATCACAGGCCAGTATTGACATTACAGATAATAAGTTCTACAATCCAGATGCATTAGTAAATACAAATTCAAAGCATGACACAGCCATGATTAATAGCACAAGCAAAGACAACACGGACCATTACATGTAGGGCCATTTGTATTTAAAGGCTGAACCCTCTTCTTTATAAACATTCATTAATTAAACACTAATTTTAAAAAAGAAAACAAATTCTTGCAGCAAATGAATGTATGTAATTATCAGTTATCTGTGTAAAGATATTTAATGATTTTTAGCATCCAAAAAATTATAATTTACTATCAATCTATTATTAAAATTTTATATTTTATTTTCTTATTCAATATCTATAGAAAAATGTATTTACTACAAGCACAAGTATAGATGATATTTAGGTCATATATTTGTACCTTTACAATTAAGGCATTAACTCTGACACATCAAACTCTATATGAAGAATTGTACCTACGGTAAACCAATTTCATTGGTGTTTGTTTTAAATGTGTTTAACTGGTTGATTTTATTATAAGTTCAGTTTTGATTTTATGTACAACTTCATTAAAAAAAACATTTTTTACAAAGGAAGAAATTTGTGGGAGACATTTGTGAGGGATAGTAGACAGGTGAAATGTGTAACGAAGATGGAAATCTGCTGGACGATGTTGTTACACTGTACAAAGTGTGGTGTGTAGGGGAGGAGGGGGAGTAGGGCTACCTACTTTGTGTGTGGAAGTCTGCTGGACGATGTTGTTACACTGTACAAAGTGTGGTGTGTAGGGGAGGAAGGGGAGTGGGGCTACCTACTTCGTGTATGGAAGTCTGCTGGACGATGCTGTTAAACTGTACAAAGTGTGGTGTGTAGGGGAGGAGGGGGAGTGGGGCTACCTACTTCGTGTGTGGAAGTCTACTGGACGATGCTGTTACACTGTACAAAGTGTGGTGTGTAGGGGAGGAAGGGGAGTGGGGCTACCTACTTCGTGTGTGGAAGTCTGCTGGACGATGCTGTTACACTGTACAAAGTGTGGTGTGTAGGGGAGGAAGGGGAGTGGGGCTACCTACTTCGTGTGTGGAAGTCTGCTCGGTGATGTTGTTACACTGTATGGACTGTGGTGTGTAGGGGAGGAGGGGGAGTGGGGCTACCTACTTCGTGTGTGGAAGTCTACTTGGTGATGTTGTTACACTGTACAAAGTGTGGTGTGTAGGGGGAGGAGAGGGAGTGGGGCTACCTACTTCGTGTGTGTAAGTCTGCTCGGTGATGTTGTTACGCTGTACAAAGTGTGGTGTATAGGGGTGGAGGGGGAGTGGGGCTACCTACTTTGCCTGTGGAAGTCTGCTCGGTGATGTTGTTACACTGTACAAAGTGTTGTGTGTAGGGGAGGAGGGGGAGTGGGGCTACCTACTTCGTGTATGGAAGTCTGCGGGACGATGCTGTTAAACTGTACAAAGTGTGGTGTGTAGGGAAGGAGGGGGAGTAGGGCTACCTACTTTGTGTGATGAAGTCTACTCGGTTATGTTGTTACACTGTACAAAGTGTGGTGTGTAGATGAGGAGGGGGAGTGGGGCTACCTACTTTGCGTGTGGAAGTCTGCTCGTTGATGTTGTTACGCTGTACAAAGTGTGGTGTATAGGGGTGGAGGGGGAGTGGGGCTACCTACTTTGCCTGTGGAAGTCTGCTCGGTGATGTTGTTACACTGTACAAAGTGTGGTGTATAGGGGAGGAGGGGGAGTGGGGCTACCTACTTCGTGTATGGAAGTCTGCGGGACGATGCTGTTAAACTGTACAAAGTGTGGTGTGTAGGGGAGGGGGGGGGGCGGGGCTACCTACTTCGTGTATGGAAGTCTGCGGGACGATGCTGTTAAACTGTACAAAGTGTGGTGTGTAGGGAAGGAGGGGGAGTAGGGCTACCTACTTTGTGTGAGGAAGTCTACTCGGTGATGTTGTTACACTGTACAAAGTGTTGTGTGTAGGGGAGGAGGGGGAGTGGGGCTACCTACTTAGTGTGAGGAAGTCTGCTCGGTGATGTTGTTACACTGTACAAAGTGTTGTGTGTAGGGGAGGAGGGGGAGTGGGGCTACCTCCTTTGCGTGTGGAAGTCTGCTCGGTGATGTTGTTACACTGTACAAAGTGTTGTGTGTAGGGGAGGAGGGGGAGTGGGGCTACCTACTTAGTGTGAGGAAGTCTGCTCGGTGATGTTGTTACACTGTACAAAGTGTGGTGTGTAGAGGAGGAGGGGGAGTGGGGCTACCTACTTTGCGTGTGGAAGTCTGCTCGGTGATGTTGTTACGCTCTACAAAGTGTGGTGTATAGGGGAGGAAGGTGAGTGGGGCTACCTACTTTGCCTGTGGAAGTCTGCTCGGTGATGTTGTTACGCTGTACAAAGTGTAGTGTGTAGGGGAGGAGGGGGAGTGGGGCTACCTCCTTTGCGTGTGGAAGTCTGCTCGGTGATGTTGTTACACTGTACAAAGTGTTGTGTGTAGGGGAGGAGGGGGAGTGGGGCTACCTACTTCGTGTGTGGAAGTCTGCTGAACTGTTCTGTTGTAATACTTCGTCCTCATCACTGTCGTCCTGCGAGTCCTTCTTTCCTTTCTTGTTAGCTGTTCAGGAATACACTCTAATGTTATACATGTCACAATCATGTATTATACAGTTCTTAACACACTAGTCACACTAACAGCTCAAAAAACAACCCTCTGGAGACTTATCAAATTGAACCTTTTCAATTTATGATTTAAGACCATTTTGGCATTTATAATGTATCCAGTTATAATATATCAGATTTTTTTTATATATCACATACTTTCATGTCACATTTCAATGAATTACACCTCTTCCTAAATCACTATATTTTTGTTATATATATATTTTCCCTGTAATTTTGTTAATTATATAAAACTTTAGTAATCTCCTTTTTATCATTTGATATGATGAACTCCTATTCTCTTGTTAGGTGTCCAACGTAACCCATATAGGCTCATATCCATGAAAACTGGCTTATATCCATGAAAACAGGCTTATATCCATGAAAACAATGTTCACAATATCCCTGCAATTTCTCAGGGACCATATTCATAATTTTGTTTTTTTATGTTTATTAAGTGATCCACAAGGATGTATATTGAAGTAGCAATTCAGAAGTAATGCTTAAAAGGAACATACATGTACAGTTTGGATACATTTTTTAAGTATTTTACTTGGAGAGAAAAACTGTTTCTGTTAATATCACATTCCTCTTTATATCACATTTCTCTCTGGCAAAGAAAACATGATATTAAAAGAAGGCACGGTACAATGGATCCTCCTTCATTTCGAGTCCGTTATTTCATCAGGATCGTTTTCTTGTCCGATGTTAATGTATTCAGAAAGTAATTCCTTCAGATCAAGACATTTTCTGCAATTAGCAATCTTTTTTTAATTAAACCATACACATATATGTTTTCATTGTTTTCCCCGGACTTATGAATAATTTACAATAATTTAAAGTTTTTGAAATCGATATCTATACCAGTAATGAGCACTAATGAAAATACAGTGTTCAATGTGAAATACAAAACCTTGTACAGGAACTGTGATGAGACTACACCTGGTCAAACTTACAGAAACTGTGAGATTTATATATTTGCCCCCGACAAAAGTAACTGCAATCACGTACGCTACCGTAATCACATGTGCCCCTTAATTTTCAAGCACACATCATTTTTTGTGTCTGTTTTTTTTTATTGACATATTTATTAGATGATTCCAAGTCTGTCAATGTCAAGCCACAGTAAATATTGTCAGTACAATATTGAACAAAATCTGTGAAACTGTTTACTTGAGCCACATATCAGCGTCCTTCTGTGTAAGAACCATGGGGTGGTTGGGTAACCAGTCCGACTGTGTGGGTTTTCTCTGGGTACTCCGGTTTCCTCCAACATTGAGACCCCCCCCCCAAACGAGAACATCCGGGCCAACAAAAGGGATTAATATAAGTTGAAATAGCTTGTTTCATAATTGTTGTAAATAAATAAAGTTAATAATTAAAGAACCATCGTCTAGGGTATGGTTCCTGTTTGGCACTTGTTTTCTGTTTTGAAGAAAATATGCTACATGCTGACATATGTATTTTCCTTAATACGAGATATGGGTCATAAAATATGTAACGAACGAACAAACTGAAACAGAACTACACAATGTAACAATGTAGAAGATCATATTACGTAATAACTTACAAGCTATTTTCATCAGAAATAAATCAATACCAAAAGTTCTTAGAAATAAGGGTCGATTCAGTTTGAGGACCCAGAAATTGATCCGAGGTTGCTGATTTATCAGTTTTCTTCAAAAAGGATTAATAACAAATCTAATAAGATTTGTTAAAGAAAACAAGAGGCCTGTATCGCTCACCTGGATATCTAAGCAATCATGGCAAAATATTCTCCAAATAAGATCCAAGGGAATGGGCAAGACCCTAAGGCAAATCCTTGTAGCATATCTGTATTAGATTTTTCATGCCCAGCAATTTTATGTATGGCTATGGGGTTGAGATCTCAACTGTTTCCAAGCTGTGACTCAGAAACTAGGTCCCTAGGGGTTTGGCCAGACCCCAGGGTGTATTCTAATATCATGACTGCATTCGTCTCTTTATGCCCAGCATTTGTATATATAGTTTTGTGGGTGGGGATCTCAATCCTTTCCAAGTAATAAACTATTTTTGGCCCCACCCCTTAGCCCAGGTGTCAGTCCCATCATTTGTAGAATTTTGAATCCTTGCCTTCCATGAATGCTTCCAACCAAATATGATTGATATCCATCGCATAGCTCTACAGAAGAAGTCGTTTATAGCAATATAGCCAAATTGCTCCCTTTTGGGCCCCGCCCCTCAGCCCCACCATTTGTACAATTTTGAATCCCCACCACCCAGGGATGCTTCCTGTCAAATTTAGATAAATTCCAATCAGTGATTAAGAAGCAGTCATTTGAAGAAATTGTTGACGTACGGATGACGGACGCCACGGTATGGCATAAGCTCACCTTGGTCCTTAGGACCTGGTGAGCTAAAACTGAAATCGTGCCTGAAACACTCATTTCTTATTTTCTATGCTGGAAGCCACCCTGTTGTATTAAGATTTCTACTCGGCATTCCCTTATGATTTCCTCATGGCTTCTGCTCTTATTTCTAATTCTGTCGTGTTTTCTGCTCCAAAATCTAGCTGTTTCAAGTAGGTCATGTCTTCTGCTCTTAAAAGCCTTATTTCTTCATATGTTTCTACACTGAAAATGATTATTTCATATTTCAGGTGTGAAATCCCTTACATTAAAATCCCACATTTTTGTTAAGTTCATTTTGGAACCCATTTGTAATGATCTCTCTCTGAAATCCCTTCTTCACTTTCATCACTTTCTAAAAGCTTACACTTTTTATTTCACTAAAGTATGGCCATCAAATGGCAGTATCGGGCAAAAACGAAGCAGTGAAGAATGACATAACGATATGGCTAAGTAAGATACATGTCTATAACATTGTCACACTTACAATACAGAGGATCATCAGACAACTGTATAATGAAACAGTGTCAGCTAAATATTGCTCTCCCCGAAAAATTCAGTAAGATTTTCATTAATCTCGTCCATTATCCGTAAATATATATGATATAAGCCATAAAAGGTGGTTGATATCCGTGGTAACGTGATACAGAGAAATGATATAATGTTGATATACTGTAATAATGAAGGGCCGTCAGAGGCAGTTGTATGCACATGCTCAAGGCACATGCTCTCCACAGCGTAAACAGGTAGATCGTAGAGACATGACTCGGGCAGAAGAACGAGGGTTGCAATATGTGAAAGTCATACAAACCTATCAGAGACAATATATGTGCCGTTTTAAATCCTACAGAAAAAGGTGTTAAGATATTACAAAACTACCACTATTAGACCTGCAGGCTATACACACATACACCACCATCATACAATTCTAGTCCAAAAGTATTTTGTGTATGGGCATACAAGTGAACTACGGACATACAGACGTCATGTGTTGTACATATACATCCATGTACAGCCCAGATTTAACACAACTGTACAATATACAATGATCTAGTATTAATTCTAAATAAATAACAGAGCCAACAGGCTGAATTTTCTTCCATTCCAACCTTGCAAAACGCCATGCAATTGTTTCACAGATGCATAAGCTCATTCCGAAAACATCCGCCAACTCTAGCTAATCAGGGTACAGTCGGGTTAAAGCGTGGCTGGTAACTTAGTAACCATTATAGGCAGTTTCATAATTCATGCCCAGAACACTTGGGTCTTACTCACACTTCTCTCTATGGAGGAATCGCAATGATGGTCTATGGCGCATTAGGTGATAAGCATTGCAACTCTTATTGGACTCCCTCAAATCTAGTTTTGTGAAACAGAACATAATGGGATTGATTTATCAACAACACAGTTATCTACCCTGAAGCTGAAGAAAAGGGAACTTGTCGGCTTTTTTTTTAACGTTACACTGGGTATTTGATGACGGAATGGAATGCAGTCCTCATTATGAAATTTGGACTCTATGGTTTGTCGAATACAACAAAGATTTACTGAAAATATTTGTTGTTCTGTGATAACACACAAACACTGGCGAGTCTCTATCCAAATACATGTGTACAATAAAGAAAGTCACACAATGAAGAATGGCTCACAGCTGTTCACTGATTGCGAAAGTAATTTTTTAATATTTTTTTTTTCAACTCATGCTTAATATAATGAGAGTTCTGCGATATAATACATATTCACGAATAAGGTAAATAGTTCAAAAAAGAGGAAAAATGGGTCTTTGAATTTTCAGGATACTTAACATTATGGTAAATTCTCACAAAGAGGATGGATTCAACAATGAGCATATTTCATTTTAAAACTCCTGTGGCAAAAATTTAGTGAGGAAACATTTAACAGAATCGCAGGCCTGCTGGCATCCCAGACACACTGTACTTCCATACACAACAAAGTTACAACAAACAACAGATGACAAGGGCACTACAACACTACATACAGATACATCTAACAGCTGCAACTGTAGCTCCCTACGACCACTCCGGCACAACGATACAGGGTTTAGGAGGTGCTAGGGCAATACCATCAAATACATTAACAGTGAGTGACTATTTTCAATATTCACAGATAATTATGAAAGAATTATATTTTATCTTTGTGAAAAAATTTCAAAAACAGTTTGATGATTTCATAGCTGATTATCAGCTTATAATTTAAGATTTTCTCTTGCTCTAATACAAGTTTAAAACAAAAGAGGGATTCATAGTTACAACTCACTGTGAATGATTTGAAGCATGTATATATAACTATGTAATTTGTTGTTGGTTTACACAGAACTAAACAAACACATGATCTACATAAAATATACTGAAAATGAAAGTAAAACAAATCTACTTCAGAAACCATTTCAACAGTATTGACAGTAAAAGATATGATGAACATTGATTTACATATAATGTAAATGAATATTCATACAGGAAAATGACAAAACTATCCCATCTACTGACTATGTAAGTTCAGGTGAATATTCAAAGGTAGAGGTCTATGAAAATTCAATTGAAGTAAAATGAATTTCCATATACATTCCGACAGACGGGAGTTTTCATGAAATTTGAATTGGTGCATACCTCCCATGATGTTCTTGAACTGTCGTCGAGCTCTGCGGAAGGGGCTGCGGTTCTTGGACAAGTCGCCGGTGGGGGATAGTGGCTGTTGGGGAGTCTCCTGTCTGTCCTTGTTTTTCTTCAGGCAGTCGTCTATTTCCTGGAGTGTCTCCCGGGATATCACAGAGGTGTCTGGACTAGTGGGGGACGACTCCTAAATCAACCAAGGGTCAGACACGCCAGCATCAATACTTGTATAAATATTAACACACTGCAGCCTTATACTGACCGACAAATAAACAAGGATTCAGGAATCGTAATCACCCTAGTGCCAACTAGCATCACAAATATGGATATCTTCATGATTTTTTTATACATGAAAATTTCAATACTAAACTTGTAGCAACTCCTTATCATGTTAATTATTTTATTTCAATCACATTTACGTATTTTTTTTTATTTGTGCATTAAAATGTTTTTGATTTGTTCTCAAGAAAAAATTTGAACTAATTTGAACTCATGAACAAGAGTAGGTTCTGTTTGATGGTACGGCTAAATCTGTATATACTACCACTACAGATTAATGTGTGTTTGTATTGATTTTTACACTTTTCAATTTCTTACTGTGTAGCTCTGTCGAGATCTAACATAAGAACTGATAAAACATGTATAAAAATCTCGCCAGCTGTGCTTATTCATAAGAGTAAACCAACGTTATCTGTGACAGATGTGATATGTAATTTTTTGTCAATTCAATTTGAACTTTCTATTTACATAATAATTACACAGGCAGCAGAATCTGAATTCAATATGTTATCCTTTGACTACTTAAGTTTTTTCTGTGTTAAAGAGTTCCTGAGCAACAACACCCAAAGCCACTGTAGAGCAAAATGATCTTAAATAACTCATTGACCCCTGAAATTTCATAATGAATTATTCCAACCTTTGAATTGGAACAGTTCAAATGTGTCTTTAGGGGTGAATCAGTTAAGAGATGTCATTTAATAAAATGGTTCAGCACAGATATTACTGTACCCACGTTCACATGTTCCTATCAGTGACAGCCTTACAATCAAATGTTATTATTACTCTTCCTGTAAGTACAAGGGTGTACAATTACACATCTGGCAAGGTATCAGTTTACTTCCCTCTGGGGGTATATGACCTCCTTAAACGGCTTTTGACCCTCAAAATATGTTAAGACGCTTGCTGTATAAAATAGTTGTGATTTATGCATGAATTTACCCTCAACTCCTATGTCTTGCAAAAATATTGATCTGTGCATGGGTACGATTGGTCTAGTAGAGTTTTTGAAAATCTACCTGCGGGCTAGGTCTCCAAATCACACACCCTTAATTCTTCAACAGCAATGTTATTGCAATTTTTACATAGTCTGTAGTCGAGATCATTAAGCAAAATATTAGTATGCCGTCTGTAGTCGAGATCATTAAGCAAAATATTAGTATGCCGTAACAGGCATTTTGGCTGTTACATTGACTTTTCCTAAATATAACGCCATCTAATTCTTCTTATTACAACATGGGTACGATCATATCTACTGAGGCTACAGAAGACAGAGATATCTGACATACCTTCTCACATGAGCAACCTCTTGAATTTAAATTGAAGTTGATTAATGAATTATTAAAGAACAATCAGGATACTAATCAATGGAAAAGTGTTGTATATTGCAGTTACCGTGGCAAAATAAAAGCCAGGGTCGAAAGGATATCGAACCCCCTTGGGATCGTGTACTATGTTTTCAACCCTTGCAAGTATTTTGCCTTAGTATCTGCGAAAATACAATACTATGATATATATGGAAATACATAGTATTTAAAATATAACAACACCGAAATGTTTTTGTCTTCAAAGCATGCTTATTTCAGGCAGCATTCAACGTCATGCTGGGAAGGAGTTAAATGTTAGACATCATGCACAAAGCCACTCATCATGCATAGGTACTTTTAGAAAGAAAAAAAATCTTTTAGTTTATAATCAGATATCTTAATTTCAAAGAAAAGCAACCTGATCACCATAACAACTGTGCCATTGAAAAAAATAAGGAATTCGGTGACTTTGACAAAAAGCAAATGTTACTGGAGTTATATCAAAACTTCTAAATTCTTAATGGATGTCACATTACAACTTGGGAAAGTTACAACACTTCTGCCAGTAAATAGGAACAAGAAAGCAAACTAAATATAAACTGGAAACAATAAACCGGCTATAACACACAAGTATATACACATCTCAAGATGGTAAAGGATTGAGCATGTTTCATGTCACCTACTTGATCTTGTTGACAATACTTTGAAGTGATCTCTTACAGTATGTGTTTCAGACGATTGTTTTTAAAAAAGAAAAATGACTTGATGACATTTCCCCAAAAGAGGTCAAGCTTAGTCAGTGTAATGTCTCGTGATCGTTTATTAATTAATTAAAATATTGATTGATTATTAATTTGATCGATTAATAATTTGAAGGTTTACCTATATTGCATTGACTTGATGATTTGATCCATATATGGATGATTTGAAGGATTAATGATTTAATTCAGCAAAAAATTGATGCATTAACAAGTTGATGCATCAATGATTTAATGGATGATTTGACAGATAAAAGATTTTTAATTTGATTCAGAATAGTGATTTAATGTATCAATGATTTGATGTATGAACAATTCGATGTATTAATGATTTGATGGATGATTCCGCAGATTAAATATTTTAAATGGTTTATGATTTTATCATCAAATAATTTGATTAACTCATGATTTGAATGATGAATGATAATGAAAATATTAGTTTTGAAAACATAAATAATTTTCCCAAAGAAATTAACAAAGCTGAACAATAAGCATAGCTTTGTCTAAAGGCAAGAAAAAAGTTATATTTTGCTTTAATACAGCGACGAACTCAAAAATAAGAATGGCTAAGCTGCAACAACATCTAACTTAGGCAACTGTTGAGCATCTAGGTGTACAAAGCTGCTGTAACACAACGTAAGCTAAGTAACGGTCAACTGTTAAAACTATATTGCGTACAAAACAAAACTTAAAAAAATTTCAATCTATACTACAGAACCGGTCTTATTTGCCTGTCAACATGCCTTACCAGATCAGAAAACGACTCTTGCTTTGCGAGAGGAGCCGGAGAGTTTTTTGGGCGTCTTTTCGGTTGGTGGCCTCTTTCAACGACAATTGACGGCCTGAGAGGACGATCCGATTTCGTCTCCTTTAATCAACAACACATCAATATAAAGCAACCTGCCACCACCTGCACACAGTTGAGTTACCTCCCTTGGAGTTACTTCCCTTGGCAAGCACTTTGTATTCCAAATCATTTAATGAATTAAGAGCTGATATATTCCTTTTATACTCCACTCTTATATTGCAGTGCATAAATGATTACAATTTAGTAGGATGCAATTTGTATGAGAGCAAGCAAGCTATATGGGGGAAGGAAATGTCATGATCTGTGTCTAAGTTTGATTGATTTCTACCAGGACTCATTTACTCCCGTGAGAAAGCATGCTAACTGTATGATAGACAGGGGGATGCAAGAGCAGACTGAGTGAGGATTCCATGCCAAGGCTGTCGTACTGTGAGCTACTGGGTGAGTACCCCCACTCCAATGGTTTAACACTTCATCAGGTCTTGTTTTAGATTCCAGCTATGGGATCAGTAAGTTTAACACTTCATCAGGTCTTGTTTTAGATTCCAGCTATGGGAGCAGTAAGTTTAACACTTCATCAGGTCTTGTTTTAGATTCCAGCTATGGGAGGAGTAAATTTAACACTTCATCAGGTCTTGTTTTAGATTCCAGCTATGGGATCAGTAAGTTTAACACTTCATTAGGTCTTGTTTAGATTCCAGCTATGGGATCAGTAAGTTTAACACTTCATCAGGTCTTGCTTTAGATTCCAGCTATGGGAGGAGTAAGTTTAACACTTCATCAGGTCTTGTTTTAGATTCCAGCTATGGGAGCAGTAAGTTTAACACTTCATCAGGTCTTGTTTTAGATTCCAGCTATGGGATCAGTAAGTTTAACACTTCATCAGGTCTTGTTTTAGATTCCAGCTATGGGAGCAGTAAGTTTAACACTTCATCAGGTCTTGTTTTAGATTCCAGCTATGGGAGGAGTAAGTTTAACCCTTCATCAGGTCTTGTTTTAGATTCCAGCTATGGGATCAGTAAGTTTAACACTTCATCAGGTCTTGTTTTAGATTCCAGCTATGGGATCAGTAAGTTTAACACTTCATTAGGTCTTGTTTTAGATTCCAGCTATGGGATCAGTAAGTTGTCCCAAGTTGCATTATAGATAGTTTTAGGAACAATAGGTTTTCTGAATTTGGTCGTCCATCAATAAGTCTAGCTTTAGGCTCTGGCTATATGATCAACAGGTTGTCTGAATTTGGAAATAACACTGACGTTCAGCAAGAGCCCTACCGTGTGCATGATCTTAACCACGTGGTCTATTTTAGTAAAAGTGACTACCTTGACCTTAGAAACTTTTCTAACCCCTATTGTAAATCAAAATACCACAGTGTATCACCTTGTCAAATTCAAGAAGATTCCTCTTTTGATTTCTGAGATGAGGAAAGACACACAAACTTGTCTAGTTTTAGTAACATTGACCTTACTTTTGACCTTAGAAACTTTTTAAATCCCTATTGCACACCTACATATCACATTGTATCACTATGTCAAATTCGGATTCTGAAATGATCTCTGAAAACAAAAGTGTGGACGGATGGACAGACTGACAGACACAGCCATTGCTATAAGGCGACCACAATGCTGATGTGGTGCCCTTATTAATAAGTCTAGATTAAGGCTCAGGCTAAAAGCTTAATAGGTTTTCTTTATTCCATCAGATCAATAAATATATATTTTAGTATCTGGCTACAGGGTTATGGGATTATGATAATCTTTTAGCTCAAGCTATGGAACGAATAGGCATTTTAGGATCTTTAAATTTGCCATTCTCCCCCTTTTTTTTCATAATCCCTCACAATCACCTGAAGTGAAACAACATATTTCCTCATATATCCCCAAGACCTTGAGATAAACCTTGACTTTTTTAAAGAGGGGCTATTGTAAGAATGCTTTAGACATTTTTAGATTTTGCCACAATGTTTATATGCAATGAAAAATTTAAATGGTACAATTGGGTCTTCCACACACCCTGTTAAGTTTCTCAATACTTCATGGCCTTTCCTTCCCCGTACCGAGTGCAATAGAAAAGAAAACAAGAGATCCCAGAGGGATCTTGGCGCCCACCTTTGTACCATCTTCATTAGTTCTTTGTTTGTTCGATCTTTTCTCTTCTTTCCTCTAATCTGTTTGATCGAGTCATGTTAACAGTAAATGCAACTTGAGGTAACTTTTGATCTAAACTTAATACTGATGTGTATGAAAGCCAACCTCCAAAGTGAGTTTGTCATTTCACATATTTACTAGTACAGTACTAAATGTGAAAGAAATAGAATCGATCATTGCAATATGAGAAAGATCTGTTTAGTTCTTCTTTTAATCCATTTTGTTTTTATGATCAGTCTCAAAATATAACATACACAACGAGGGATCAAGGGGAACCTACATTTAAAATTTGAGAAAGATCCCTCTGGTACTTCCCGAGAAATAGCGATAACAAACTTTCACTATCAAAATCCAAGATGGCTGCCTGTCGGCCATGTTGTTTATCCAATCAGTCTCAAAAGTTGCCCTGCACAGCTAAGGACCAAGGGGAACCTTCATATAAAATTTGAGAAAGATCTCTCTGATACTTCCCGAGAAATAGCGATAACAAACTTTCAATATCAAAATCAAAGATGGCTGCCTGTCGGCCATGTTGTTTATCCGACCAGTTTCAAAAGTTGCCCTGCACAGCTAAGGACCAAGGGGAACCTTCATATAAAATTTGAGAAAAATCCCTCTGGTACTTCTTGAGAAATATCGATAACAAGAATTGTTTACGGACGGACGACGGACGACGGACCACGGACCACGGACGCAGGGTGATTTGAATAGCCCACCATCAGATGATGGTGGGCTAAAAAATACTGTCCCCAAACCCTCTGTACAAAAATCTTTGATGTTTCTCTATCTATAAAAGAAACAAATTCTATATTCCTTTTTTAATGACGAAACCCTTAAAGTCTCGAGTCTATCCATCAAAATATTACCAGGTCCCCTGTATACAAGGACCATGTTTAGATGCACATTAGTGACATGGGGAGTATCGGGAAGGAAAGGCATGTCTACAAATCAACGGATCTAATACGTCACTAAGCCGTCTCCAAAGTGAAAAGATAAAATGGTGACAATCGTCTACATCAGCTCACAACATGCACGGGGAGAGAAGAAAAAAAGGATGAATATAAATCAATCTTTACCCCATCTGTCTGGAATGCTTTGGCAAGGTCTGAAACCCTGAAATGGAAACAGATATGTTGGGTAAGAAACAGTTCTAATAATGTAAAAGTGGGAAATCTTGCATGTGTCAATGTTCACAATGTGAAACTTTCTAATTGATTGCTGTGTTGATGAATTTTTGTGATGGAAATGGTTCTGAAATCAACATATATCTATAATCTGTATTATCTAAAAATGAATACCCGCTGTGGATAAAGAAATACAGCAACAACATAAACCTGGTAGAAAACAAGTTTAACTGTACACTCCCTACCTTGATGATGAGTGGGAGTGATGGAGGTATTCATCGTCCCTGGTCTTGCCCGCAGGCCGTACCAACACGTCCTGGTCTGGTGTGGTTGGAGTCTGCGGTAGAGTGACCACTGACCCCTGTTTCTGGTCCTCTGCCAGTGTCTCTGAGTCAGACTCGTCTGCCTCGTGGATACCACTGCTCCTAGAAAAGACACAGACACTGGTTGTGACACATGCATCAATTCCATTAAAGGCAGGAGATGTTACAGAGCCATTACAGCAAAGTCAACCAAGCTGGTAGCTATTTCACCAAAAGCCTAGGTGTTTTTGTAGAAGTTGCAAATCTGGTAACATGACAGCTACCTTTGATCACAAAATATAACTACACATAAGAAATATCATAAGAGAACTATTCTTGCCAAGTCTGAAAAATATCTGAAATAATGATAAAAAATCTAGGATTTCTAACCTGCAAGAAAATAAACAACCTTTTCCTATGACCGTTGGAGAACTTTCCCCTCTGTTTGCTTAAAATCTGCATGGCTGCTCTTAAGAAAATATGGATATTGATTCACACTTTACCCTTGACCTCTAACCTACTACTCGTCCATCACAACTGTAGTTGTTTTTGGAGGTGCAGACGTCTGTATTACCTCATTGCCAAACATTGCCCCCCAACCCCCATTCCCATCCATATGTTAAAACTAACTTGTCCAAGTCATGACCCCCCGAACCCCCCCAATGTTAAAACATACTCGTCTGAGTCACGGCTCCGTAGCTGTATGGTAGGGTAGAGTACCTTTATTATCTGACCTCTAACCCCTGACACCCCCCCCCTTCATGTTAAAACATACTCGTCCGAGTCACGGCTCCGTAGCTGTAAGGTAGGGGAGAGTACCTCTATTACCTGACCTCTAACCCCTGACCCCCCCATGTTAAAACATACTCGTCCGAGTCACGGCTCCGTAGCTGTATGGTAGGGGAGAGTACCCCTATTACCTGACCTCTAACCCCTGACCCCCCGACCCCCCCATGTTAAAACATACTCGTCTGAGTCACGGCTCCGTAGCTGTATGGTTGGGTAGAGTACCTTTATTACCTGACCTCTAACCCCTGACCCCCCGACCCCCCCATGTTAAAACATACTCGTCCGAGTCACGGCTCCGTAGCTGTAAGGAAGGGGAGAGTACCTCTATTACCTGCCCTCTAACCCCTGACCCCCCCCCCCCTTCATGTTAAAACATACTCGTCCGAGTCACGGCTCCGTAGCTGTAAGGTAGGGGAGAGGACCTCTATTACCTGACCTCTAACGCCTGACACCCCCCCCCCCATGTTAAAACATACTCGTCCGAGTCACGGCTCCGTAGCTGTAAGGTAGGGGAGAGGACCTCTATTACCTGACCTCTAACGCCTGACACCCCCCCCCCCATGTTAAAACATACTCGTCTGAGTCACGGCTCCGTAGCTGTATATTTGGGTAGTCTTTCTCGTCCAACTCCTCGGCACTGGAGCCCTTCGTCAGAATGCCCTCGTCACTGTTAGAAGAGTGTAGGTCGTCCTGTTGCTTCTTCCGTAACTTTTCCTCCTCCTCTATTCGTCTCAACTCTGCATCAGCCAGAAGCTTCTTATACCTAAATCACAGACAGACATGTATCAAGTAAAATGTTGTGCCCTTCTTACTTCTTCTCTGTCATACAAGTCACCATCAAATGAACACAGTATAAATGTGCGATAGAATTACCTGTCATTAACAATTTTCATGCTTGTCTTATTGTCATTTTCCATCATACCAAATACTTGTGAAAGTTCCATATTTAGCATGGTAGAATTTAGATCTTGATTTTTCTATCCCCTTTATCTTTTACTGAAGATGTTGATCAAAAGTATCAAGACTTGGTAATGAAAAATATAGCCAAGGAAGACATTTTTGGAGGTTCAGTAATCATCCATATGCTGAACCTCAAAGGTCTTATCCAAAAGTTTAAGATTTGTCTGTCACCATCATGCAGGAGTGATAAGTTACTTTTCTCAAACTTTTTTCTAATTTATAAAGATAAACCTTAGTTAGGTATGGTATATTTATGATCATTAATGTATGGTGTATGTATGTCATCATTAGTTAGGTATGGTGTGAATATAGGTAAAGGACGTACTGCTTCCTGGCAGCATAGGCCCTGGCCAGACTCTGTATCACAGTTACACTATGGACGATGATGAGGTAGCGCCGTCTCTCACTCCAGCACCGATAACATTTCTGTATGACGAGCGCTGCCTCTTTCTCCAGACGAATCCGTCTCAACCGCCTTTGAGCAATGAACCGGCGACCACAGACCTAAAAATACCCAAATTGACAGAGATAAAGGATATTAATATCAGTTTAAATTTAATTAAAGTATGTGACCACAAAACTGTAATATGACAGGAATCTGAATGCAAGAGGTTCATTCATGTAAATAAATATTAATCTTAACACAATCAAAGTTTAAATTTATCCGAGTGACTGATCATTCTATAATATCTACCAGTACCCAGTATAATAGTCTACAACAAATGAAGAATTCACTGTGACAAATTAATGAAAACACAACAAAAACTTAAGAACCACTGACCCATTCCTAGATTATTACTATTTCAAATCCTTACCATTATGACCATACTCTTTTTGATTTTATGACCATACATGTTATCTACATGTATAACAATACAATATTATTCTCTAATGTATAACCATACAATATTATCTACATGTATAACCCATACATCATTACCTACCTGTATAACCATACATTATTTCTTACCTGTATACTCATACACTATTACCTACCTGAATAACCATTCATTATTATCTACCTGTATAACCATACATTATTTCTTACCTGTATACTCATACATTATTACCTAAAACCATAAATTATTACCTACAACCATACATTATTACCTACCTGTATAACCATACATTATTACCTACCTGTATAATCATACATTATTACCTACAACCATACATTATTACCTACAACCATACATTATTACCTACCTGTATAACCATACGGTATTTCTTACCTGTATAACCATACATTACTACCTACCTGTATAACCATACAGTATTTCTTACCTGTATAACCATACATTATTACCTATCTGTATAACCATACATTATTACCCACCTGTATAACCATACATTATTACATACCTGTATGACCATACATTATTTCTTACTTGTATCACCATACATTATTACCTACCTGTATGACCATACATTATTTCTTACCTGTATAACCATACATTATTACCTACCTGTATAACCATACAGTATTTCTTACCTGTATAACCATACATTATTACCTACGTGAATAACCATTCATTATTACCTACCTGTATAACCATACATTATTTCTTTCCTGTATACTCATACATTATTACCTAAAACCATAAATTATTACCTACAACCATACATTATTACCAACCTGTATAACCACACATTATTACCTATCTGTATAACCATACATTATTACCCACCTGTATAACCATACATTATTACCTACCTGTATAATCATACATTATTACCTACAACCATACATTATTACCTACCTGTATAACCATACATTATTACCTACCTGTATGACCATACATTATTTCTTACCTGTATAACCATACATTATTACCTACCTGAATAACCATACATTATTACCTACCTGTATGACAATACAAGCCGCCCTCATCTTTAGGAATGTCTGTCTCTCCAGGTTGGTTTTGAACCACCTCTGTATTTTCACCACACGCTGCATGATTGCCCCATGAAGGGCCTCATCCAGCCTCATCTTCTCACTCTCTCGCAGGAACACCTGTAGGTGAAATAATTAATGATAAGTAACAAGTTCATACATAATTAGATGCAAGATAATAAATATCTTCTAACAAGATTATACATTTTTAGTAGCAAGATAATACAACAGATTCTTTAGTAACAGGATAAGAGATCTGAAGTAACAAGGTAACACATTTTTTGTAATTCAATTTTAGTAACGAGATAATACATATCTAGTAATAAGACAACACATTTTTAGCAATGAAATAATACATCTTTAGAAACAATACCTAATTGTCGACCCTGGTGGTCAGTGCACCGTTTACTCACCTTGGTAATGCCTATCTGGTAATGTTCACTGTTCAGATGTCTCTCCTCTAGAAAAGCCTTCACATCTTCTTTTGAACTGAGTAGGCCTTTTGGTAATAGTATTTTGTAAATCTGGATGAATTCCTGTAGGATAAAAGTAAACAGGTTGTGCTATATATTTTTGTACCAAACAAAAGAGATCAAGAAAAAATACATCAGAGAAATTTACAACCGGTCCTTTCTAGATTAAAGGTGTGTGTGTGTGTGTCTTTCTGCATAGTTTAATAGGGATTCCTGTAAGTTATTGGGGTTTCAATTACCGTGCTTTAAAATAACAAACAGTAATGCTAAATTTAGAATCCATAATTCACTGCCAAAATTGTAACTACACATTGAATTTTTTTTTTCCGGCTTGACTATAACTTTGTTAAATCTGAAAAGAAAGCCATATCTTGCAAGACATGGGAAATAAGAAAAATACTGTGTTACTGTTATATGCAAACGGAAATTAAGGGGAGGCTACTGTTTATATAGGGTGATCCCTGGTGCAGTGGAACAATTCCTTAATAGCAAAATCTACATCAGTCCTGTTTCTTCTCAAATCAAACAGTTTTCTGCCATCATTCAAGATGGCTCCTGGCAGTAGATCAAAATTGCAGTCTTTTTTTAGGTAGCAACAAGGAGGAAGAACACTTATTGGAACAGTGTTCAATACTGCAAACACAGTATTATAGGTGACTACTAAAAATACAATTTTGAAAGCATTTGAAGGATGATTTCTGCCTATACTTGCAAAAGTGGGACTGTCATTGCCTATACAGTACTTTCATTAAAAGTGGGACTGTCATTGCCTATACAGTACTCTCATTAAAAGTGGGACTGTCATTGCCTATACAGTACTCTCATTAAAAGTGGGACTGTCATTGCCTATACAGTACACTAATTAAAAGTGGAACTGTCATTGCCTATACAGTACACTCATTAAAAGTGGGACTGTCTTTGCCTATAAAGTACTCATTAAAAGTGGGACAGGTATTGCCTATACAGTACTTTCATTAAAAGTGGGACTGGGATTGCCTATACAGTACTATCATTAAAAGTGGGACTGGCATTGCCTATATACTACCCTCATTAAAAGTGGGACTGTCTTTGCCTATAAAGTACTCATTAAAAGTGGGACTGGCATTGCCTATACAGTACACTCATTTAAAAGTGGGACTGTCATTGCCTATACAGTACTCTCATTAAAAGTTGGACTGTCATTGCCTAAACAGTCACTCTCATTAAAAGTGGGACTGTCATTGCCTATAAAGTACTCATTAAAAGTGGGACTGTCAATGCCTATACAGTACTCTCATTAAAAGTGGGGCTGTCATTGCCTATACAGTACTCATTAAAAGTGGGACTGTCATTGCCTATATACTACTCTCATTAAAAGTGGGACTGTCATTGCCTATAAAGTACTCATTAAAAGTGGGACTGTCAATGCCTATACAGTACTCGAATTAAAAGTGGGACTGTCATTGCCTATACAGTACTCTCATTAAAAGTGGGACTGGTATTGCCTATATTCACATAATAAGTGGGACTGCCTATACTCACATAATAAGTGGGATAACCTATACTCACATAATAACTGGGACTGTCACTGCCTATACTCACACAATAAGTGGGACTGTTATTGCCTATACTCACATAATAAGTGGGATTGCATAAACTCACATTACAAGTGGGACTGTCACTGCCTATACTCACATAATAAGTGGGACTGCCTATACTCACATTACAAGTGGGACTGTCACTGCATATACTCACATAATAAGTGGGACTGCCTATACTTACATTACAAGTGGGGCTGTCACTGCCTATACTCACATAATAAGTGGGACTGTCACTGCCTATATTCACATAATAAGTGGGACTGTCACTGCCTATACTCACATAATAAGTCGGACTGAATATACTCACATACTAAGTGGGACTGTCACTGCCAATACTCACATAATAAGTGGGACTGTCACTGCCTATACTCACATAATAAGTGGGATTGCCTCTACTCCCATTACAAGTGGGACTGTCACTGCCTATACTCACATAATAAGTGGGACTGTCACTGCCTATACTCACATAATAAGTGGGATTGCCTATACTCCCATAATAAGTGGGACTGCCTATACTCACATAATAAGTGGTATTGCCTATACTCACATAATAAGTTGGACTGCCTATATACTCACATTACAAGTGGTACTGTCACTGCCTATACTCGCATAATAAGTGGCACTGCCTATACTCACATAATAAGTGGGACTGTCACTGCATATATTTACATAATAATTGGGACTGTCACTGCCTATACTCACATAATAATTGGGACTGTCACTGCCTATACTCACATAATAAGTGGGACTGTCTATACTCACATTACAGCTGGAATTGTTCTACTTACATCAAACGTAAGTCTGTAGTTGTAGCCGGACTGTCGGATCTTCACTGTGGCTAACATTCCTGTGTACCTCAGCTGTCGTAGTACCATGGCATCGTCAAACACACAGGGGGCCTGTAGGAAAATTACAATTAGTGTTCCCAACACAACAACTGTCTCCTTACATGCGACTTCTATCACATCGCGTTCCAAGTAGAGCAATATTCACAGAACGATACATATACACTTGAAATTATGACACAACGATAAAAATATTTCAGGAATTTATACAAAACACAAATATTATCTCTTAGACATATGCGAATGATATTGTACAAGGTTAAAACCTGAAAAGGTATGATATGGACCTAGTATATGTGTGGAGATATGTGTTCCAGATCCTGTATGTGATCTTATTTGACTAGATAGTAGTAATGATCTTACCTTGTCTGGGTTAGACTTAATACATCGGATAAAGAATGGATTCGCCTGGTTCAAAGTAGCCATCAGACGATGAAGTGACCACTGAAATCAACAACGTAATAAGCAATGAGCGATTACATTTCCAAATTATTGTTTCACTTTCCTGGGCACAAAAAAATCAGGACAATTCTGGTTCAAGAAGTCACTAAGCTACTTTCTGATGTGTGTGTGTTTTTTTTTTTTTTTTTTTTTTTTTTTTTTTTTTTACTGAATGTTGATTTTATTTTTGGACAAAATAATCAATTCTTAACTCATACACCCCTGAAATCCTTTCATAACGAACTATTCAAACCTTTGAATTGGAAGAGTTCAAATGTTTCTTGAGGGGTGAATGAGTTAAACTGATTTACAATGTCAAACAATTTAACACAAGATCAAACTAGCTGATATTTTTTGAGAATCTTATCTCAAATGTTATTTAGAACACATTTGGATTAAGTAGCTTTCAAAACTAACTTAATATTGCTTCATTGTTAGTACATGTCTGTTTGACCCAATCTAAAGTTGACCCCAACTGACCGTGAACTGTGCGCTGACACTAGCCATCTGCTTCCTACTGCCGTCTCTGCTGCCCCGCCCATACATGGTGCGACTGGCTATCTGCTTCAGGGTCTTAATGTCCCTCAGCATCTGTACCACATAGAAAATGTTTAGTATCACACTCAAGACTCACCACCTAAAAACTTACAAAAAATTCATTCACACAAAACTCACTAATTCAAAACTTACAGAAAAAACAACATTTATACACATAAAACTTACTAATTCAAAACTTACAGACAACAAATTCACATAACAAAACTCACTAACTCAAAGCTCAAAGAAAACTCATTCATACAACAAAGCTCACTCATTCAAAACTTACAGTTAACACATTTATACAAGACAACTGTCACTAATTCAAAACTTTAAGAAAATACATTCACACAACAAAACTCTCAAATTCAAAACATACAGAAAACACATTTATACAACAAAAATCGCTTATTAAAAACTTTAAAAAAAATTCACTCATGCTAATTCAAAATTCATAAAAAAAAACACCTCCTGCACTCTACTAAGTTGATGTCACATTCGAAACTCACTTTGATTGTCACACATGTGTTCAGTGCACAGGTTTTTTGGCACATACATAGAAGACATGATCATTCTATTCTTATTGAAACTAAGCAAATATCAATGTGCTTGATCAGTAAATGCACATTTATTTGTTTCTCTTAGCAACCATTTTTTTTAACATCATACATTTATTGTGAATGACTGACTTACTGTGGGTGGTTTTGGCTTTGGTCGGAATGATTTGTTTTTCCTGGAATATCAAAAAGACGTAACTACAATGTATGATCATAGTCTTATTAAACACCATTCTTAACCACGATAGAGTTCATTGTTCTCAAATTCTCTGCAATGACAATTGCAATACTTCAACGACACATGTTGATATTTTCTAGATATTCTTGACACACAGAACTGATTTTCTGTGAAAAAAATAACATTGCTTTAGTGATATGATCTATTTTTCAACATTTATGTCTATATTTTCACATTACAATTGTACCAGGTAACTATATACTATAAAATCTTCTTTCAATAACTTTCAAGAACTACTTCCTTACACAAGTATGATCACAAACTTACCTACAATTACATGTTTTGACTGTACTTGTATTTTTTTCACATGAACTTATTCGAACATTTATGACCTGAACCCCTTTGTCTATATCTTGTAGAACCATAAAATACACTGTTTTACAGATCAAATCACATTGTGACCATCAACATTATACCAGTATATCCCTTTATTTTGTTAGGTCACTTGCGAGGAGTAGATTTTTAATATAGTGAGTGAGTCATAATGACTTTTATCCTCATAACTTATTCTCAAAAACATATCCTATGGGCCCTGCCATTTGTCCCTTAGGGAGTAATTATAAACCACATTAATTTATCATTATATAAAATTGCCTCATTGCTCGACGAAAGTTTAAATTTGTTCAATAAATCAGTTCTCAAGAACCACTACTTTGCAGCTGACTATTATCAGACAGATGCTGCCTCGACTTCCCAACATTATAAAAAGATGTTCAAATAAAAACCTTTTTTTGTGGCGTGTCACTTTTGTTCTATTTTGTTAAGATCTTGCATAAATATTAAAGCCAGCTCCTGAAGTGTTCCTGCTCATATCTAGTGATGAATCGCTTATAGAGTTTAACTCATTCACCCCTGAAATTACATAATGAACTATTTCAACCTTTCAATTGGGAGAGTTCAAATGTGTCATCAGGGGTGAATAGGTTAACATCCTATCAACATCTACGGTCACTTAAGGACATGTCCGGCGATGAATGATCAGAGTTGTGTCAAAATCACAAATTGCAAACCCAGCGTATGTGAAACTTACTTAAATAAAAAGGATATTCACTACCTAATAAATTGAAAAACATGATAATTACAATAATATAAATCAGACGTATTAATTCCAAGATTGTATGGACATTTTTAAGTTAGTTATAAAAATAATACGATAAAGAAAACATATTGCGTTCACATATTTTCATGATTTGAACTTATCACATTTTCATGTACATCGCCAACAATTTAAAAGACAGTGATCATTCATGTTTCCAATATTGGGCTAAATTGAATTGTCTAGTTAAATGCAATCTTTTTTCTAACAGATAGGCTACGTGATTAACAGGAATCAACCGTATAGGATTCCACCAATGAAACACATCCCAGAAATAGGAAGGCTACCAATAATTCTCATGCAACTAAATACATTGACCACAGTCAGAGAGTTTCTACAATATTTCTAACAGAAACAAACAAAATTGAGTTTACTACAAATTGTAATGGCATGCTAGTAATATTTATCAAAATTGGATAAAAGTGAGTATTGAAGCTAACATTTTGGGAATAATGTAAATGATTAATTTTAAGCTTATTTTTGGCTACATAAAACTTCTGATACATCAAATTATGAGAACTTGCTTCTAAGAAAACATTCACTTAACAATATCATTATACCCTACCATGATTGCCCACGGGACTGAAAGGCTTGCCTGGTTTTCATTTTGTCATAAAATAAACTGAGGATGCAATTGCTTCTGCTGGGTTTTTTGTTTAGACAATCTGACTTAAATGGTTTTTAACCATTTCACCCCTATGTAACTTTAGTAAACTCTACCATGCAATGATCTGGATGAGTTCATTATGGTCCATAGTGGTGAAAGGGTTAAGTAATACATCAAAACATTATTTTAAATTTTCTTTATGATAATGGTTCCTGCCCCTTTTCCTGCAGGAGGGTCATAACTTATAGGGATATCTACTTAAAAGTTGTTCATTAGTTCTTGACAAGAAGCTTTTAAAGCTATTTTTTTTTTTAAAGACGACCAATGCTGTGCCACAGCATTAACTCATTTGGTCTTCAACCATGCAGAAAGTGATTTAGTCAAACACCTACATTAAAAAGGTTTGACAGCAATATCTTCTTAATAAGATTAATATTAAAAGTTTAACTACTGTAGGTTAGTTAATCAGTATGTAAAATTCTTCACACCAATATATATATATACCCATACATATTTTTTCTTTAAAGCAGAGACAGGCTTGATTAAATAACAGAGTGCAGAATTGGAAATTATATGCTGCAAGTTTTAGTAGAATCATGCCTTATTCAGTTCTACAAATTGTATGTTTACAGGAAAAAAGGTTTCACAAACATACATGTGTTGAAGAAATAGTAACATTTGGAGACAATCCCATTTGGTAAAAGAGTGCAATACACAGGAGAGGAAAAAAACATACAGGATGATTTTTGTAGAGCGTCGGATGAGTTTGGCCGATTCGGGTAAGTAAAGTTCCACTGGACTGGTCAAGACAAGGTCTCCCTTTTCATCAGTGACATAATCCAGAGATCGGATGAAGATGTCATCATCAGCATCGTCGTCAGAACAGCCATCCTCAAATGTGTCAACAGTACATGCAAAATATTGGTGTTCATGCAGGGGGGAAAGAGACCGCTGCCCAGAGAAGGCTTGGTGACGGTGGTAACTCGCACTGTGGACACTAACAGGAAATGTAAGAGACAAAGGGAGATAATGCTGTGAGTATATTACAAAAGCAGAAAAACTGAATATCAACACTCTCATTTCAAAAGCAGATGAGTAAAAGAAATGCGAAATTAGAAAACGCATCATTAAATCAGATGTTCGATGCAGGTTCTGTGGAAACGAGAGTGTTGATATGGCTAATCTACTGTCATTCCATCCCAGTGATTTCGTACACAATAATCATGTACATAGGAAAATTGTCACATTCTACAAGAAATTTCCATATTTAATGTTGATAGCTTGAAATACTATTTGCATTGCGCTATGATCCAGAGAGCTACTGGTATTCGTTTAATCTGGTTTTTTTCAAAACCTTTCCCAACCCTAGTTATAAACCTGATGATTATTTTAAAACCAAGAAGCAGAACCACTTACTAAACCAATATACTTTCAACCTATTCACAATTCATGGTATCCAAACACCTACTTCAATCAGCAATGAATCCATTGCAACCGAAATTTTGGGAAAGTTAGGAATGATTGATAAAAAGACAAAAATAGTTCAGAGAAAAAAAAGATTTTTTTTTGTGTGTCATTGACCTAGTTTTTCATTAATAAACGTTTTTTTCATGATCATGACAAGAGGACCACTGCGTGGGACTGAAAGACTTATCACACAGAAATTATAGATTTTATCAGTAATGCAGTAATTGATATGTTAAAAACTCTCCCTTGGTTAATAGGATGGTTATTGTACGAAATTGCACAAAATTCTTAGTGTTACAAATGTATTAAATATATATAGAAAGTGCAATCAAATTGTCAAGCTAATTTAGTGCAGGAACTGAAGGCAAGAATTGTCTTGATTATAAAATTTGATAATTTAGTGCAGGAACTGAAGGCAAGAATTGTCTTGATTACAAAATTTCCAAGTATGATATTAGCATAATATGTTGTGTATATTTGCTTGCTACATTTTCCGCTCCATGGAATGTTCTTAATATTTTTTCACAAGAAAATATTCATTATTTTAACATTTATTGCTTACTCCCCCCCAAAAAAAATACTGAAAAATTGGTTAAATGGTATTAAGTGAAGATTTAGGGCTATAAGATACAAAAAATCTGCTTTTTTTTTTTTTTTAATGAAAAAAAAGAGATTGTCAAATTACACACACAAAGATCACGATATAAACTACTGGTAGTAACTTGACATTCATTCATGTTCAAAAACTATTAAGAAAAAACAAAACAACAACCAGATATATCAAAAAAGATATTATATGCTGCTGAACAAGAGCCAGGCAACACTACTGAACAGCAGAAAATATCATGCTCCAATTCCATAGTTTGTCCAAATCACAAGCTTTCTAAACAGAACTCAGAGGAGGCTTACTGAATTTTCCTTAACACTTTCATCGTCATAGCAATTGTGTAGAATCTTAAAACAGAAAGATGACATGTACTTAACAAGCTGGCGAAATCAAAACACTGCTTCGACTGATAGCTTGTTGTCATTGTGAATCCACTAGCTAGGGGGAGATTACAACTATACTCCACATTCACATCATCATAAATCTTCATTATTTAAGTTCATTTTCTCTCTCTATAAAATCTAATGTTAAAAAATGCTTTCGGCTAAAAACGTCAGTGCAGTCCAAATTCTACTGGTAATACAGAATTGTGCTTTTTCTTTCGAAATTTAAAATACAAAATTACCTTTTTTCATTCCAACAGGATTTAAATTGGTAAAATTGACAAAGTGATTCTTTTCTGCCCAGTAACATGGAGAGCAAAGCCAGACACAGAAGTGATTAATACAGAGTTGGGCCGGAGAGGACTTTTATGGCTTTGATTGATTTAGAACTTCTTTTGAGAGCATCAAGCTGTTTCGTACCAAAAGGAACAAGCATCGACATTCAGTTTCACCTAACAGTGCACAGTACATGGGTCAATCCCGAGGCATTCCAGATGTGCAGGTCTCCGCTGACAACTTTATGGATGAATAAAATTTAGTGTATTTAATTTTAGACTTATTTCAACCTTGACTTCAATCTCGGATAACAAATTGAAAACCTGAGATTAAAAGCAAGAGTCAAATTTGAAAAAATATATAAAAAAAATAGACAAATCTAAGTGGAATGTTAAAATATGTGAAATATTTGGATCATTTGCATATCTGAAATACCCCCGACTAACGGTAAAAAAGTAAACCAGAGACCATTGATGTGTACCACAAACTAAGGTAGCAAAGCATAATAGATTTCAAGGTGTTTAGGACGGAGATATAGAACTTTCATAGCGACATCACAAAGAAAGATAAACCAAACAGACTGGTACGGAGAGGTGGGTGAAAACGGGGAAGTCCTCGTATTTTATCATACGAAAAGTGAAGCCATTATAAATACCAGATCTGATTGAGAATGTGAAGGGGAAAGTCAAACAATCACATACTTGAGAAGGTTTTCGCTGGCAGCCAAGGCTTCAGGCATTATGTAGTCCGAGTGGCGCCGATTTTTCGCTGGTGTATTGGATTTGAGGCCTGTGTGAACAATTCATTTAGTGTTACACAATGAATTCAATCAACAAACCAAGCTACAACTGTGAAAATCTTAAATCATTTGGAGAATATCTTGACTTGAATTTTCAACTTCACATCTTTTTTAGCTTTTTTTATCCCTTTAGAAATATCAATGAAATCATCATAATTGTATCTCCGCCAATATAATCGACTACAAGTTTTACTATAATCAAGGGGCTTTGTTGTTAACTCATTCACCCCAGAGGACACATTTGAAGTCTTCTAATCCACGGTTGGAACATTTCATTATAATATTTTAGGGGTAAATGATTTGAGTGTATGGATTTGTAGGCAACAGTTGTTTGCTGTTAAAGTACTACTTTTTCCGGAGAAACTGTGTTAACCAACTAATATATATCTTTCATGCATGTTAGGTTATAGTTACCTCCCCTGCTTCTGAACTTCTTGCCCTCGGCAATAAAGGCGAACACACTTTTGACAAGGGTCTTCACTATAGACCATCTCAGCACAGCCACTGGATCAATTCCTACAATGAAACTGGGCTTTACAGAAACAACAAATCAATTTCAATACTAGAGTAAAACTTTGTTATACTGCCTCAATCTGTTCATCGAAACATTGGCACTATAAAGGGGTTTGGCAAAATCAGCAGGTGGCAAATGTACTGTAATTTTTCTCCTACATAATGCCTTCAGTAAAACACTCCATACTACATAACACCTGTAGGTTCCTGGTAAGAATAGGCCAGCTGTATCCCATTGCATGTTACCTTAATAGGCGCCTAAGGAGTGGCCCATTGCGTGTTACCTTAAGAGGCACCTAAGGAGTGGCCCACTGCATGTTACCTTAATAGGCGCCTAAGGAGTGGCCCACTGCAGGTTACCTTAATAGGCGCCTAAGGAGTGGCCCATTGCATGTTACCTTTATAGGCGCCTAAGGAGTGGCCCATTGCGTATTACCTTAAGAGGCACCTAAGGAGTGGCCTATTGCATGTTACCTTAATAGGCGCCTACGGAGTGGCCCATTGCATGTTACCTTAAGAGGCACCTAAGGAGTGGCCTATTGCATGTTACCTTAATAGGCGCCTACGGAGTGGCCCATTGCATGTTACCTTAATAGGTGCCTAAGGAGTCGCCCATTGCATGTTACCTTAATAGGCGCCCAAAGAGTGGCCCATTGCATGTTACCTTAATAGGCACCTTAGGAGTGGCCCATTGCATGGTACCTTAATAGGCGCCTAAGGAGTGGCCCTCTGCAGGTTACCTTAATAGGCGCCTAAGGAGTGGACCATTGCATGTTTCCTTAATAGGCACCTAAGGAGTGGCCCATTGCATGTTAACTTAAGAGGCACCTAAGGAGTGGCCCACTGCATGATACCTTAATAGGCGCCTAAGGAGTGGCCCTCTGCAGGTTACCTTAATAGGCGCCTAAGGAGTGGCCCTCTGCAGGTTACCTTAATAGGCGCCTAAGGAGTGGCCCTCTGCAGGTTACCTTAATAGGCGCCTAAGGAGTGGCCCTCTGCAGGTTACCTTAATAGGCGCCTAAGGAGTGGCCCATTGCATGTTACCTTAATAGGCCCCTTATGAGTGAACCATTGCATGTTACCTTAATAGGCGCCTAAGGAGTGGCCCTTTGCAGAATTAATGGCTTTCTTCGGTGTCTTCTGCTAAGGGGACATTCAAGAAACCAAAATTGATTTTCTGCATCCGAAACAATGCTTAGGATCTATGTATTCTCATGTGATCCTGGCTGTTGCGAGGACGTTGAATAACATACACACATTTTATACAGTATGCAGCAATGACTCCCTGAGCTGGGCTGGGCGACAACAGTCTGAAATCCCATATTCAACAGGACATTTCGGAACTTTCCACATGGATATTTAATTGTAATTATCTAGAAAACTGAAGAAAGTAATGAAAATTGAGCAGACTTATGATGTTCCACTGAAGGGTATCTTACCCATAAGTTCTCTGACAAATGTGAGGTTACTGCTCTTCAACACGCTGACGATGTCCATCCTGATCTGGTCGCTGTTTTTCTCCCGGAAATCCTGTAAAGTAGAAAACATTAATGTAACGAAAATTATATAATGATTGTACTAAAACTGATATTACTGACAACAGGGGAAACAGAAATGAAGCGAACTGATGTGAGAACACGGGCTGAACGTTCTATGCCTACCTTTGACTACTTGTACATGTGCAATGCGTAGTTTTCAGGGGTTTTGTGTGTAGTTTAATTCTGACTACACTAAGTTAGTTTTGCTGTGACTTCACTGAAGTGGTTACTTTAACTACAGACTGTAAGAGATGGTTTACCTTAACTTGGTACTTGACTTTGCCAGCGTAGTGCATGATCTCAAACGCCCCCTCCTTCAGCTGCGGCACCTGGTAGTACGGCCGACCCTTATGATGGTGGTTGAAGTTGGCTAGTAGTGTTTCATTTGTGGCGCCGGGGAAGCTTTATTAAACAAAACATTGTTTACTATATTAACGTCACAATTCCATTTCTATACATGTATATGATTTATATTTAATAAACAGACAAAACTAGATGTTTCATGGTTATTTCGTCTTTCTGTCTGTATTTGATTATAATCCAATTATCCATTTTCTATTCTTATGTAGTCCAGTCTTTTAAAATGAAATCAAAATGTCTTGATTTTACTACAGATCACCAACATTTATCACAGCATGCTGCTAAGTGACTACCATTTCTTAACAAACAGACGAACAATGGTGACCTTTCATAATATACTGATGGCCTTCCACATATATATATATATATACCAGTGAACTTTCATCTACTGCTGGCTAACCACATATTTATGTCCTTTCACATCCTGGTGAACTTTGACCTATTGTGACCTTTCACCTACTAATGACCTTTCTCATACCAGTGACCTTTTACCTACTAGCAGCCTTTTGGTTGCTTGGGCGACAGGTTTATCGCCTACATGAATCCACCCATACAGGCTTCATCTTACTGTTGGAGGTCGGTGTTCTGTCATCGTCAGCAGCCTTTTATGAACTGGTGACCTTTTAGTTACCATGACCTTTCACCCACTAGTGACCTTTTACATTCTGGTAACATTTAAGGGGTTGACTTACTTGCATTCATCATCCAGCAGACACAGCAGGCCGTCACTCTTGCTGGCAAACAACTCCAGACAGCCGGTGTTGTCTATAAACTCTATGTTCTTCCACTGGATACCCTCTTTTTTGTATTCCTCCTGAAAGTTACAACAAAAAACTACCATTAGCTGTATGACATGAACAATCCTGGTTCATTTACTACTGTTTTCATCTTATTTCAAATTTTGATCTAACTACAGTCAGGGGTGTACAATTATAGCCCAATGCCCCAGGCTAGTATATTTTTATGTTCGGACTCGTACATTTTTTTCAATATTTACTATGAAAATATATAATTTTTCACATAATATTCAAAGCTCATATCTCATTTTATGATTTGTCTTAAAACAGCTACAAATTAAAAATATGTAGGATATTGTATTTGACATAATCAACACCTAGCTAGGCTGCTGGAAAATTGTCAAAAACAGTTATGATGCACATCAAAATGCTTTGAAATCTACCATCTACTTTCGTTGGTTTACACTCTGTTGTTTAGATAGGATTTGTTGACATTTTTTATCGCTGAACAAATGTCTCCCAATATCAAGATGAGAATAATATGTCCCTTTTTAACATGTCCACTAAATTCTATAACCTATCCTAAAATATATATGCGAGCGATCTTGTTTAGTAAAGAAATAATGCAAACTAGCAATAATAGTCAGCATATTAGTTTCGGTCTGGCACATCTGGAAACCCTCAAGATGCATGTGACGCATATTCCTGTGGTCAGTCTCAGTTCAGATCTAAGCCTGTTGTTTTGTTACAGGTTCAGCTGGTTGATGCGGTCGACCTGGTACGCGAAAGGGGCCCTGTGGTAACACTACTGAGATAGTCATAGTGGCTACACTTCATCCTCTGTAACACTCCAGTATCTCACCTGCTCAAACTTGAAGATGTGTTGATTGAAGTAATACTGCAGGTGCTCGTTAGCATAGTTTATACAGAACTGTTCAAAGCTGTTCTTCTTGAAATCCTCAAAACCAAATATGTCCAACACACCTATTGAATTTCCCTGAAACAATAACATGAAACTATTAGTTCCATTAATATATTGGTTTTATCACATCATTGTAGCTATTAGACAGTGATATAATACTCAAACAGTTTTTTCCCTTAAATATCTATGGTAGTAATTTATTGACAAAGTGCCACTGATGAAATCATTCTGTGATGCATGTAATCTAAAGCATCTCGAATTTCTCCCCATTTTAAGACATTTATGAAGCTTGTTCCTTGAAAAAAAAATGAGTAAAGGGAATTTTAAATGTATCGCACAAGTCGCATATTTAAGAATGTTCACGAATATTATTTTTCTCACTCATTGTCCTTTATGATAAGGTCACAAGACATTGTTTCCACAACATAAACAAAGACTTGTAATGCAATGTTCAATATCGCTTACTTTCAGATTGCACTATAAAAGCCTTATAGTCTTATTCTGTCGTTGCGTGTTTCAGAGTTATCCCCTCTTTTTTGAGCAGGTATTGATTGTAACGTCATTGGTTTGTGTGAGAAAATTACGTTGTTTTCTCAAAAATTGATGACGTTACTCTCAAAAACAAATGACGTAACAATCAATACCTGCTCACAAGAGAAGATAACCCTGCAATACGAAAAGACGGAATAACCTAATGTTCAATAGTAAAAACAAATTTTGTACTTTCAGTTTCCACAACAAAAACATATACTCAAACGTTTCATGTTTAAAATCAGATATTTTATGTATGAGCAATGAAAGCATTGCAGTGTTGTTACCTGGTGTTCACTGTTGTGTCGCTTGGCCAGCAGGGCCTGGTTCACCTTGAGGACAATCCAGTCAAACAGGGCACCGTACAGACACTTGGCCATGGTGTCTCGGTTGGCCAACGCCTAAGACATAATCAAAATATTTACTCATTAACAAAAATTTAATACGATATTCCACTGACCTTTTAACCTTCTACATAGCATTTCTATTATTTACTTTGGTAGTTTTATTTCAGTCTGCATTTGTATATTTTCTGAAAATCAATAAATTTGAAACATCAGGAAATATTTAGCTATTACCCGGGATATACAAAAGGAGTGTTTTGAAATATACCAGTTTTCCATTGAATGGCATCTACATTTTAATCATGCAGCAGAATATACCAATATTTTCACTCGTGCCTTGCACTCATGAAAAATATTGATATGCTGTCATACTCGCGAAATAAATACAGCATTCAACCTATCAAATATCCCCTATACACCGAACTCACATCCACCATTTTGTAGTTGATGACCATAGTCTCCCCTCCAGCTGTTGTCTTCTTTTGTGTCAGAGCTTCCGTTAGGGTCTTCTCCTTCACCTGAAAACACATATTCAGAACTCATCCTTTTCTCACAGATACAAAAGAATGTATGTGCAAGTTTACACATACACGTTTCAAATATATGTGTAACATAACATAAACATTCAAGTATGTGCATGTTATATCTATGTTTGCACGACCTTCAGAGATATATAGTGTGGCGCTACCCAGAGAAGCCCAGAGAGAGAGATCTTTACCTTAGTTAATCAAGGACAAAGTTCAGACAATCTGTATGCAGTTTTACCTTGAGCAAACTAGAAATTATCTGGACTGTAGTTTTACCTTGAGCAAACTAAAAATGATCTGAACTGTAGTTTTACCTTGAGCAAATTAGAAATGATCTGAAATGTGGTTTTTCCTTGAGCAAACTAGAAATGACCTGAACTATGGTTTTACCTTGAGCAAACTAGAAAACCTAGAGTAGCCCAGAGAGAGATCTTTACCTTAGTTAATCAAGGACAAAGTTCAGACAATCTGTATGCAGTTTTACCTTGAGCAAACTAGAAATAATCTGAAATGTGGTTTTTCCTTGAGCAAACTAGAAATGATCTGAATTGTGGTTTTACATTGAGCAAACTAGAAATGATCTGAATTGTGGTTTTACATTGAGCAAACTAGAAATGATCTGAAATGTGGTTTTTCCTTGAGCAAACTAGAAATGATCTGAAATGTGGTTTTTCCTTGAGCAAACTAGAAATGATCTGAACTGTGTTTTTACCTTGAGCAAGCTAGAAATGATCTGAACTGTAGTTTTACGTTGAGCAAATTAGAAATGATCTGAAATGTGGTTTTTCCTTGAGCAAACTAGAAATGATCTGAAATGTGGTTTTACCTTGAGCAAACTAGAAACAATCTGAAATGTGGTTTTACCTTGAGCAAATTAGAAATGATCTGAACTGTAGTTTTACGTTGAGCAAATTAGAAATGATCTGAAATGTGGTTTTACCTTGAGCAAATTAGAAATGATCTGAAATGTGGTTTTACCTTGAGCAAATTAGAAATAATCTGAACTGTAGTTTTACCTTGAGCAAGCTAGAAATGATCTGAACTGTAGTTTTACCTTGAGCAAATTAGAAATAATCTGAACTGTAGTTTTACCTTGAGCAAGCTAGAAATGATCTGAACTGTAGTTTTACGTTGAGCAAATTAGAAATGATCTGAACTGTGGTTTTATCTTGAGCAAATTAAAAATGATCTGAACTGTGGTTTTACCTAGAGCAAACTAGAAATGATCTGAACTGTGTTTTTACCTTGAGCAAGCTAGAAATGATCTGAACTGTAGTTTAACCTTGAGCAAACTAGAAATGATCTGAATTGTGCTTTTACCTTGAGCAAACTAGATATGATCTGAACTGTGGTTTTACCTTGAGCAAACTAGAAATAATCTGAAATGTGGTTTTTCCTTGAGCAAACTAGAAATGATCTGAGATGTGGTTTTACCTTGAGCAAACTAGAAATAATCTGAAATGTGGTTTTTCCTTGAGCAAACTAGAAATGATCTGAAATGTGGTTTTTCCTTGAGCAAACTAGAAATGACCTGAACTATGGTTTTACCTTGAGCAAACTAGAAACAATCTGAAATGTGGTTTTACCTTGAGCAAACTAGAAACAATCTGAAATGTGGTTTTACCTTGAGCAAATTAGAAATAATCTGAACTGTAGTTTTACCTTGAGCAAGCTAGAAATGATCTGAACTGTAGTTTAACCTTGAGCAAACTAGAAATGATCTGAGATGTGGTTTTACCTTGAGCAAACTAGAAAACCTAGAGTAGCCCAGAGAGAGATCTTTACCTTAGTTAATCAAGGACAAAGTTCAGACAATCTGTATGCAGTTTTACCTTGAGCAAACTAAAAAAGATCTGAACTGTAGTTTTACCTTGAGCAAACTAGAAATTATCTGGACTGTAGTTTTACCTTGAGCAAACTAGAAATGACCTGAACTATGGTTTTACCTTGAGCAAACTAGAAACAATCTGAAATGTGGTTTTACCTTGAGCAAACTAGAAATTATCTGAACTGTGGTTTTACCTTGAGCAAACTAGAAATAATCTGAAATGTGGTTTTACCTTGAGCAAACTAGAAATTATCTGAACTGTGGTTTTACCTTGAGCAAATAAGAAATGATCTGAACTGTGGTTTTACCTTGAGCAAACTAGAAATGATCTGAACTGTAGTTTTACCTTGAGCAAACTAGAAATGATCTGAACTGTGGTTTTACCTTGAGCAAACTAGAAATTATCTGAATTGTAGTTTCATCTTTGATGGCAACAGATTCGTCATGGTGCTGATCTCCCTTCTACAACAAACAAAACATAATTACATATATTTCACGAAATTACAACCTCTAGTAATATTGGATATATAAAAGAATGCTTCAACTTTTGTTTTGTTTAGGTGTTCGTCAGAAATTCTTGATTCAGAACTCTAATATAGCTATCATTCATGAATTTGTTATCTTAGAAATCCTGTCGTAGAAGAACAGTTGAAAGCCAATTTTACCTTCTTGAATTCCATATTTCCCAGCAGTAGCACTGCCGACAATACACAAAATATTCTGCAACAGAAAAAAAATATCTAAATTATAAATGACACAAAAAATAGTTTATTCCCTCAACCAAACCAAAGAATAGTTAAATTGTCATCTACATATCATATTCAATGCAATTAGAGTCGAGTAAATGTTATTCATGATCATAGATATAAAGATAAACACAGAGAATCTTCTAATCTCAAGCTTCGTTCTCCAACCTCAAGCTTCTCTGTATCACAGAGAGTGGCTTCTTAAATTAAGATTATTTGCATGTTTAATCGAGGTATAGAGTGAGTGGCCCCAATGTGATGAATGTTTCTTTATATCTACATCTGTATTAAGTTTCCTAGTACAGATATTAACACTGTAGTAAAATACAAGTAAACTGTTCATCATGTTTTAGTTGTTTATAAACTAGGGCTTTATGGCTATTCCAGGGCAACTATTGATGAAACTAGAACTGTAAGCTAAAGGCTAACTAATACCCCCGCTCCTATATAAACCAGAACTGTAAGCTAAAGGCTAACGAATACCCCTGCTCCTATACAAACCAGAACTGTAAGCTAAAGGCTTACTAAGGCAAAGCAAATAGTCTCCCAACAGTAACAAGTATTTCCCACAAAGGGGCATAACTCCATCAAAAAGGGTCAAAATCCCAAATTAAAATGCCGGTGCACAACTACATAACATACTGATCATTCATGCAAAGTTTCAATGAAATTCACCTGTTGGTTAAGGAGGAGTTTTTCCAGACAAGTTACTGCGGACGACAGACAGACAGATATCCAGATAGGGTTATTCCAGGATAACTATAGCTTTATTGCATTTCATTTTGTGCTAAATGACTGCATGTAAAATATAGAATGAAAAGGATCAGTTTGAGGAATATCTTTATTTTTATTTTTTGTAACTTACCGTCTTTGTGTCAAAGGAGAGAAGCCGACCATTTCCAGTGACTGTCTCAGCCGGGCAAACTCATGTGCTTCATCCACTCCTTCTGTATGGTAGCAGCCACTCTGTAACACACACAACCGTGACATACACAAGTCTGTATCACAAAGTTATAGATATAGTATACAGTTAAGGATTCCTGTACCACTGCCACTGTAACACACACAACAGTGACATATACAAGTCTGTATCACAAAGTTATAGATATAAAATACAAGGATCTGTACTACTGCCCAAAACTCTAACGAAGCATTGGAAACAGTTTTTGACCGTAACTTTGATAAATCATTTCTGAAACCAAAACCATAGCTTGTGGAACTTTTAGGAGAAATTTTAAAAATGAAATAAACAAAATATAATCAACTATACAGAACTTTGAGTGTGAAACTAGACAAGAGGCCCATGGGCCTTAACGGTCACCTGAGTCTATAGTATTTATTTTTGTTGTTGAAATATGTACCAATTTGAGTAAAAAATAGTATAATGTTAACTTAACTTTGTCAGGACCATGAGCTGATCATTCCTAGACCAATTTTAAGTGAGATCGGCCTATTAGAACTTAGTAGCAAAATAGCGGCCATGGCAGCCAAATTGTATTTCTGATTGACCCGAAAAATAACAACACTTTGTCAGGACCATGA